GAAAATGTTTGGAAACTAGAAAGAGGTGGTAGTTCACAGTATTGTGAGTATACTAAATGATACTGAATTGTCACTTTCAACTGATTAATTTTATGTTATGTGAATTTAAGCTCAATAAGAAAAAAGTTACTCAGAAACAAAAGAAGGAAAGAAAGAGAAAGGGAGGAAAGAAGGAAGGGAAAGAAGGGAAAGAAGAAAAAGAAAGGAAGGGGAAAAAAGAAGAGAGAAATAAAGAAAATTACATAGTCAGGGTAAGTCTTTTTGAGAAGATACTACAGGAGCCCTGACTTCCAGGAGGTGAGAGAGTTAACCTATTGGGTAACTGGAAGAAACTGTCCAGACAGAAGGAAGAGCAAGTGTACAGTAGAAACTGCCCTTGTGTGTTCAGGGTTGGAAAGGAGGAGTCAGAAGAGTGATGGGTAGCCTCAGATTACATGGGCCCTCAGAGCTGCTGTAAGGGGGTTGGCTTTTCCTCTGGGTGATGTGGGAAGACATTGGAGGCCTATATGATCTGACAGGTTTTAATAGGATTTCTGGAGCCTCTTTATTAGGAACAGTCTGAAGAAGGGGACTTGTGGAAGCACGCATAACTATTATAAGCTACTGTTGCAGTCGAGGTGAGAGATGATGGTGGCTAGGGAGAGGAAGATGGTGGTGGAGGTCGGCAGAAGTGTTTGCAAATAGGATGTGTTTGAAGGTGAAAACTACAGGATGTCCTGGTGGATTGCAGGTCAGATGTGTGAGGAGAAGAAGAGCCAATTACAGATGGTGAATTTTGTCTTGAGCAACTTGAAGAATGGATGCCCCCACTGAGACTGAAGAAGACTATGAGAGAAGTTGCTTTTCATAGGGGTGAGGCAGGGAAGGAGCATCGAGAGCTCCTAGAGTTTGAAGTGTGGCAAAGAAGAATCAAAAGATAAGCACTCTTCCCAAGGAACACTGTGGGTGGGGCTGTCCCTAGAGCCTTTTCCCAAGACCACCTACCACCACCCTGGATCTGCCCCCCCCCCCCAGTCCATTGCAGGCTCTACAAATACCGCATCAGGAGAAATGGGGGAAAAGATTTCCCCTTTGCTTATTCTTGTGAGAATTACTGAGAACCTGACCCACTTGGATTCTTATATGTGCAACATAACAAAAATGTCCTTGCTTTTGACATGGCTTACAGTAAGACCTGGCCATACATGGCCAGCTCTGGACTATGAGAGTACATCTTGATTTAGTTATGATACCAGGCAAGACAAATGGAGAAGTCTTACATGATATCTTACTAGTTATGAAATACTTGAGTGCCACAGTCCAAATGCAAGTTGCTTGCTGTTACTCTGAAAATCAGGGCTTTTGGTTTTTGTTTATTTTTGGCAAAAAAAAAGTTTATTTTGGCAAAAATTTTTGTTTATTTTTGTTTATTTTTGTTTATTTTAGATTATAAATAGGGACATGCCAGATTTCAAAACTCTCACCCAAAATCAGAAGGAAATTATGGCTAAATCCAAAAATCAGAACAAAGTTATAGCCAAATTAGGCTAGGTTATTTTTAAAATGAAGAGTAGGTCTGAGAAATCCTTAAAATAGTGTGTCTGCTAGAGAAATAAGCAGACATTGAACGCTTTCTGCTTAACTCAAGAGATTTCACAAGTGCTCAAAATCACTGTTGTATTAGTTAGAGGTCCTTTCCTTTCACATTTTATCTGTTATTATGAATCATTATACGTTTATATTGGATGGTGTCATAGTAGTGAGAAACCAAAGTAGTTTAGTTATTTATAAAAAGAAGCTTTTGGGAAATTAGACTAGCTTATTTTGTTTAATAACCCAGCCCACAATTATAAGAAAGCAATCTTGACTGCTCTGTTTTTGTTTTTTTTTTCTCTCTCCTTTTTAGTTGGTATTCAAGAGAAAAAAAAAAAAAAAGCCTTGACTTTGAGGTTCAACAAGTTTGGTTTCAACCCTAGCCACAAGTGGATGAGCTTGGTCTGATGATTTAACCAGTCTCCTCTATGGGTTTTATTTTAATCTGTAAAAGTTGAGTAGTATTGATGATAAGTACTTCAGTTCTTTGACTGAAAGGACTTAATTACTGAATGGATTATTAGATTATCTTATTGTAATCATTAGATTTTATGAAATGTTTCTGCCAGGTTTCAAGATCATATTAACATTCTAATTGGAATCTGAATTTTAACTGAGAAATCTTATATTTGAAACTAGGAAACTCATGGAAACATGGTCTAGTCTTATGAAGAAATGCCTACATTTAATCAAACCTTTTGAAAATAATTTAGTGTGTAAAATAAAAGTCCATATTCAAGTATAAGAACATTCAGGTTCATATTATTTTATTTAACAAAATGTTCTCCAGAGTTTAACCATGCTCTGGGCACTGTTTCTAGCTCCCTTGCTCCTGATTCTGTGGTCTCAATGTGAAACTCATATGCTCTTGATAGTAAGAGCTTGGACAACTAACTTGAGACTAGAAATAAGCAGACCCGGTTCCTCGAATTGACACTGAACATCTCATGGTAAATCTAGCTGTGACAGAATTTTGTATTTCTTCCTCCCAGAGCACATGACTGATGTCTAAACTATGACTGAATCCCCAAGCAGATGGGTATGCCTGCTCAAGATCACTGCCTGCCACAGTGTGGGGAATGAAAAGCTATTAGAAGAATCCTTTGTTAGCAGGAACCTCCTCTCTCTATCTTGGTCACCCAGTGGCAGTGTGACTTTGTGATTAGACACCTAGCCCTTTGAGCCAGCCTGCTTGGGTTCTGTCTCTTAGCAGTATGTGCCTTGGCCAAGTTGTTTAACTTTTCTGGACCTCCCTGTCCTTATCTGTAAAATGGGTATGTATTATAATAAGAATGCTTGCCTCCATGGGTGTTGTGGCAATGAAGGAGTTAACACATGTAAGTCACTAGGAACTGGATCTTGGCATAGAGTGAGTTCTAGAGAAAGCTTAACTATTATCATTATATTATTGCTCCAGTCTGCAATTAGTCCCTGAATTCTTTGAAGATGTGTTAAGTTTTAAAAGTGAATTGAATTTACTCATGATGGAGTCATTATAGCTATGTATAGCTCAAATCTAATTTTGCAATTAACATTCATTTTACATGGGGTTCAAGAGTTGAAGTTTATGGTCTTCCTATCAGTCCCCTTGAGGTAGCCTTCTTACTCATAGTTTCCCTCTATGCTCCTGAACTCCTTAGAAAACCTGTCCTTTTCCAGCAAAACTGATCTGAGTCCCTACAGGGACTTATATCTGAGGAGTAAGATGCTGGGGGAATCTGGTTTTGGAGAGACTGTGTCACATTCTGAACCATAAGAAGAGCGCTTACAAACCTCCATAAAGTTTGGCTTACTCCTCATTGCTTGTCTCCTCATTCGTTTTTGGAACTCTTTGTAGTTCATCCAGCCCAAACTGGATGAGCATGCTGAGCTAGAATTTGCCAAATGAAGTGTCAAAGGATATCTAGAAAGACAGATTCAAGGCCCCAGGACTTCAAGATCATTGAGAACCTGCGGCACCTGGGTGGCTCAGTGGGTTAAGCCACTGCCTTCAGCTCAGGTCATGGTCTCAGGGTCCTGGGATAGAGCCCTGCCTTGGGCTCTCTGCTCAGCAGGGAGCCTGCTTCCCCCTATCTCTCTGCCTGCCTCTCTGCCTACTTGTTATTTCTCTCTGCCTGTCTCAAATAAATAAATAAAATATTTTTTAAAAAGATCACTGAAAACCAAATGAGTAATAATATCAGGGCAATAAACAGCGAGCATTATTTAGCTTAAGAAACCGATGCTAAAATAAGGGGAGGTGGTTTGATGACTTCACCTAGAGGGATTACTCAGTGTTGCCCTTATGTTGACGTATTTATGTACCAAGGTCAAGAATTCTTGGTACATGACACACCCCTATTTTTGAACCAGTCGTGAACTGTGACTAAAAATCAAATTTCAGTGTGGGTGGAGTAATGAATTCCAGGATGTCTTCGAGTGTCTCCCCTTCAAAATAAAAGAGAGAATGTGTGCACCTGAGGAGACTTTGGGGCTGGAGTCACAAGAGCTGGAAACTATTCTTAGCTCAGTCATCGACTTGGAGATCACTCCCTTCCATCCTTTAGGTTGGGTAAGCATCAATTACTTATCTAAAGCTTATACTAAAAACTTTTCCATACACATAATAAGAAAAGTACCAGCAGACGATGTTTAGAGGAAATGTGCTTTCTTGAAGTCTGTTTAGGGTTGCTGTGTCTATTGTTCTATTAGCTAGTTTCTGTATTCGTTCAATCCCTTCCCTGACTTTTTAAGAAAAAAAAAAAAATCTAGTTAAATGATTTTTTTGGTGAAAGGAAAAAGAAAAGCATGTAAATATTTTTCACAGACCTCCAACTATTCTTAGAAAAACTGGTGAATTTTGGAGACAGGTTGAGGTGGGCACACATTTTTGAGGGTTTGGCATTGTGTCTAGGGCAATTACTCGATTAATGCTTGACCTGTCCCTTGCCTATAGTTTTAGTTGCTTTGTGATGACTATTTGCACGTACACCTGCATGTGGGTCACATATGAGTGCACACAACCCCCAGCCTGTGTGGATAGCTGTGGTTTTTACCTTGGCATTTAGAACATTGTGTTTTCTAGGGTCTGTTGAATTTTTTATAGTTTTTAAATTTGTTTCTAAAATAGAAACTAGTTTTCTTTCCTCCTAATTCAGCTTCTTCCAGCACATTGTCATCATAATATGAAACAGTACAACTATTATAAAGCCTATGGGGCCCAAAGTTTCAGTAGGAATAAATGCAATGTTTCATGTCTGAAATCCTGCTGTTAAACATATTCATACCTAACAAATACCTGTTGATTGATTAATTCTCCTGGGGGGAATTGAATAAGTAAAAATCTTGACAGTAAGTATTTTGCTTATGATTTTGTGTGATGTATGTTTCAGTAGAGACATTGAAACTCTATCCTGCTGTAAATCTCAAGGGGTACTTTCAACCTCCTAGGGGAGACCTTCACCATCATATGTCACAGATTCATTTTGAATAATCTCAACAATCAGTTACCAACACTTGCTCCGGATTGATAAACTGAGAATGAGACTTTGGGTCTTGACACTTCTAACAATTCTTGTACATTTCACAGCAGCTAAATTTAGTAAGTACTGCTTTTCAACTGAAATTGTAAAATTTTTAAATTAAGTAATTCCAAAGATGTTTGCCTTGTTTTTTTTTCTTAAAGGTTTTATTTATTTATTTGAGAGAGACGGCACGATTATAAAATTTTAAAATTAAGTAATTCCAAAAACATTTGACTTTTTTAAAACATTTTATTTATTTATTTGAGAGAGTGAGAGAGACAGCACGAGCCATGGGGAATGGCAGAGAGAGAGGGAGAAGCAGACTCTCCGCTGAGCAGGGAGCCTGATGCAGGGCTCAATCCCAGGACACTGAGAGCATGACCTGAGCTGAAGGAGGAGGCTTAATGGAACCAACTAAGCCACCCAGGCACCCCATCATTTGCCCTGTTTTAAACTGCTTGCTTCTGGTTGTTTCTGGAAAATTCATTTATGCTTCACAGTCATTCTTTATCAGTAATCTATCAGGACAAATTCTTCACAACAAGTATATCATAATTTTAGTTTTACATATTTAAATATATCAAAATTTATCCTGCAGCCCACATGTAGGAGGTGCTATAAGCGTTTGTTGTCCCACAGTATACTTCGCAGAGAGACATGTGGCTGCTTTGTCACTGGAACAGTGTAGGAGGATTGGCTGCAAGTTAATTCACTAACCTGTGGTATGCATTAGAGCATTTCATAGAAGATCTTCATCATTTACTATTCTTTCACAGTGAAAGTGTTACAGAAAATGGTCCATTTCTATATTTAATCCCAGAAGGATACAGTATAAGAATATAATGTTGTTACATGGTCATTTCAGGATCCTATTTATGTTTTGTTTGTTTGCTTTTTGTATCTGCAGGCAAATCATCCTGGGGCCTGGAAAATGAGGCTTTAATTGTGAGATGTCCTAGGCAAGGAAAGTCTCGATACCCTGTGGATTGGTATTACCTGAAAACCAATAAAAGTATAACCACCCAGAAAAGAAATCATGTGTTGGCTGCCGGGGAACAGCTTAAGTTTCTCCCTGCCAAAGTCAATGATTCTGGAATTTATACTTGCATTATCAGAAGGTATTAACAAGGCAGTCACCATAATCTTCAGCTTGTTCCCTTTTCTTTGCTAATTGACAGTGTGAGCTGTCCTTCCTTTCCTTTCCTTTCTAGACCTTTGTGGGACAGCTGAATTTATAAAGTGGTTTGAATAGAAGGGTACTTCTAGGAACACCATCTGGTTGGGTTTTGGGTGATTATGAACAATTTAAAGATAGAATTGCAAGAATTTGTAGTCCAATTAGGAAAAGACCTAGCTTTTGTAGTGACCAAGAAAACTGAGAGCAATCACTCACTTTGGCTGGAAGTAGGAACAAACCAGCAAAAAGACCCAGTAAGCTAGATGCTGGGCATCAAGGAGGCCTATAGTGGGAGCAAAAGGGCTGTTAGCAGTGCCGTAAACCTGAAGGGTAAGCCAAAGAGGGTTGTGTAAGATTGTGTGCCTGCAGGTTATTTACTCTACATATATATTGTTAAATGTTCTGATCTTGTGCCTGTATTTGGTATATACAATATGTCAGATGAACTACATCAAAATGTGGGATGTGATTAGTTAGGCATCTAGCTTCTGAGGTCAGACCAGTCTTAGTTTCAAATTCCTGTCTTGTCACTAGTTGGGTATGTGATGCCAGCAGTGATTTCTCTGTTCTTCTCTTTCCTTATCTGTAAAATACATACGATAATATAGCCTACTTCAAAACATCCTTATGAGAAGAAAATAATGTAATGTTAGCACCATGAATGATACACAGTAAACTCTCATTAAATATCAATTATCTTTATAAAATCCTGTTCTTGGCATGACAGCAGATCTAGTGTATAAAGAAATGGCGAGGGAGTCATGATAGGGCTAATATAAGGAATATGTTTTATCTCAAATGTAACACAAAAAATATTTAAAACTCTAAATTTTTTAAATTAACATATAATGTATTATTTGTTTCAGGGATACAGGTCTGTACTCCTCAGTCTTACACAACTCACAGCACTCACCATAGCACGCACCCTCCCCAGTGTCAATCACCCAGGCACCCCATCCCCCCTCACTCCTCCCTTCCAGCAACCCTCCATTTGTTTCCTGAGATTAAGAGTCTCTTATTGTTTATCTCCCTCTCTGCTTTTGTCTTGTTTCATTAAAACTCTAGATTTTTATAGATGTTTTTAAATAAGAAAACAATTCCTGTACATCAATTGTTTGAAGAAAAAAAAAAGCAGTATTAAGTAAAAGCTTAGAATTGAATGAAGTCATTTCATAATGCTGAGTAACTTTTTAAATCGTTTGACTTATTTTTAGTCCTACCTCTAACAAGACTGGGTATGTAAATGTCACCATCTATAGAAAACAACCAGATTGCAATGTTCCAGATCATCTGATTTATTCAACAACATCAGGATCAGAAAAAAATTCCAAAATACATTGTCCTACAATTGACCTCTACAACTGGACAGCACCTGTTGAGTGGTTTAAGGTAAAAGGACACTTGGGGGAAATGGCTGATAATTACACAAAACAAGGGCAAGTAAAGAGTCACTGAACATGGAATGGAATGTTTCCTTGCAGAATTGTAAAGCTCTTCATGGACCAAGGTATCACATACACAAGACCTATGTGCTGATTGACAATGCAACTAGCAAGGACACAGGTGATTATACATGCAAATTTATGCACAATGAAAATGGAGTCAGTTACGGTGTCACAACAACCAGATCATTCATTGTGAAAGGTAAGCCTACCGAATTTAACAAAACATAATATTTAAAAAAAATAACGCGAGTGGAATTGTGCCCTTCTTGTTGATTTTCCTTGACTGCAGACCCCCTTATCTGCAAGGGATACATTCCAAAACCCCCAGTGGATGCCTGAAATAGGGGATAGTACTGGTCTTATATATACTATGTATTTTCCTGTCCATACATACCTATGATAAGGTTTAATTGATACGCTGGGCACGGTAAGAGATTAGCAAATATAACTAATAATAAAATAGAATGATTACAACAAAATACCAAAATAAAAGTTACTATAGGTCTTAGCAAATTCAGCATATGATGTTTTTCTCTTTCCTTATTAAAGTCGAGAGCTTTCACCTTTTCACTTCGAGGAAGTGTTTAATGGCTTCTCTGGCTTCTCTGCATTGCCAGCATCATTACTTTTGTGCTTTGGGGACACTATTAAGTAAAAGAGGGGTTACCTGAACACAAGGAGTGGGATGCCAGGAAAGTCTGCTCATAACCAAGAAAGCTACCAAGTGGCTAAGGGACATGTGGTAGATACGGGGCAGATCTGCTAGACAAAGGGACAGTTCACTTCCTGGATGGGACCGAGTGGAGCACTGTGAGATTTTATTATGCTACTCAGAACAGTGAGCAATTTAAAAATTATGAGTTGTTTATTTCTGGAATTTTCAATGTAATCTTTTTGGACTGAGGTTGACCACGTATCCACGTGAAAAGCAAAACAAGTGACCATACTTCATGGTCCCGATATGTCTTCTGGCTTCATCTCCTCTTGCACATTCTCAACAACAGAGCAAAGAACTTTTCTAAATGCACTCTCAAGATTTCAGGAATTTTAGAGGGAGTTTATGCTACTAATCTGAAATCAAATCTGTTCTCTCCTATATGACTTAAACTTTCCTAAGATGGTGTGATCTGAATGCTAACTTAATAAACTTATTTGGGGATGGCAATACAAGTGTTTGCAGAGCAAGATGAACTTTCCTTCTCCCAATTTGTTGTGAGAAGTTCTGTAAATAGAAAAAAAATCTATTTAATCTCTACTGTACTTAACTGGATTAGAAATTTATTGAGAGGTTCTGTAAGGGGATGGATAGATATTGTTGGGTGGTTTTTAATTGTGAACCCAAAGTTATCAGGAGGCAATAAGTAAGCAAAAGTGTTTATGGGGGGATCAAAGAATTGTAATTTGGGGTACACAGATTTGAGTAGCAACCCAGCTAGTGTCCCACTAGAGAGCAAAAGTCAGGTGATTTTAAAGCACAGAGGGAATGTGTATAGACATTGTTTACAAAGAATTCTGATGACTATTGGCAGTAGAAAGCTAAGCTTCACTTAATACAATTGGTGACTAAGGCTATCAAAGGCAAGTCTCTTATTGTACCAAGTTGTAGATGTTTGGGCTTAGTCTTGGAATATTTGTAGTCTCACTAGTTCAAAAGTTCATGATTCCACCAGTGAGGTCATGGGACCCATCTCCTTAATGGCCTCCTGGCTCCATTTCAACCCCCCTTGACATAAGTGACACCATTCCATTTCGCCTTTCACACAATCCTGGTTTGCAGTATTTTCTATGTTATCAATGACCTCAAGTAGATAATTTGATTCTAAAAAGTGTTTTTCAAATGTTAAAGTCTATAAAAATACCTCACCACCAAGGCTCTCAAATCTATAAGGAGATTTCAGGGTTTCCTTAGCTTCACACTATCTTGAAATAAATGAGAATCCAGGGGTGTAGGAATGCAGCAGTGCTCCAGAAGATCCCCTTCACTGTCCCTAGGCACCAGTGCCACAGCAATTAGAATTTCCACAGTGGTGGAAATCTGTGACCGAAGTGTGGACTTACGTGTTTATGGTTGTCATAGAACTTTTTTATTTTTTTTTCATTCAATAAGCATTTATTAAGTATCTTATATATGCTAGTGTTTCACAGAACTTTGGAACTTCTTTCCTGTAGTGTTGTGCTTGTTCTGTAGAATTGTGGTTTTCTAGCAATTGCCAAGTTATGCAATTTATTTAATGTGTTGGACTCACATTTGTTTTAACCCTAATATTTGTAATCTCTTTGTCTTTGATTTAAGAGGAAGAAAGCGTTTCTTGGTTTCCAGTAATTATAGCCCCTCCACAAAATGAAACAAAAGAAGTGGAAATTGGTAAGAAAATTTTAAGAATGCTATAAATGTTACTTGGAGAATCCTTCCATAGGACTCTTGATCTGAATTTCCTAAGCATGGGTCAAGCAGTTAACACGATGGATCTTGGGAACTGAATGAAATGTCATGTGTAGAAATATTCATTTGGGTACTTGTTAATATTCGGAATACCCAGCATTTACATTTGCAATGTACTTGTAGCTCAGGGTGCTCTCACACGTACTGTTTTACTTCATTCTTACTTCTCTCCTGGAGGTGGACATCATTCCCAATTTATGCGTGTGAATACTTAGGCTCAGGTAGGATCAATGACATGCCCAGGGTTGTGAATAATTGGTGATAGAAGGATAAGAACCCAGGCTTTCCGACTCTGCGTATCTCTGCCTTCTTTGGTTCCCTACCAGAAATGAGATACAGCTCCACCTTCTTGGCCTGTAAGAGAAGATCCTTCATGAACTGGTTCTCACTGCGTCCTGGCTTATTTGCAGCTGTTAACCCCACGTGCTCTGTGTCCCTTCCATCCTGACCCCCTCACAGTTGTGACACTGAGAAGGCAGCATTTCCATATTCTTTCTTGCCTTTGTCCATGATGTTCCTTCTTCTCATCTCTCAACAGTGAATTAAATACCATTCCCCAACGCCACCCTCCTTACCTACCGGTGGGCACCCCAAGATCCTCCATCCAATCTGGTCCAAGGAAAACATTTTCTTATACAGTGTGGCAGTCCTGCTCCCTAGGATGACTTCTCCCTCTGTATTCACATGTAATTTGTCAGTCTTTCTATAGAAGAGTAGAGTACCTTGTATTTTAATCATTTGGGTGTGCCATTGTCACTGTCTGAGACACTCTGCATTCCTCATCCATCTGCACACTTCTTGACCCAGGAACCAAGGGCTCAGGAAGGGATGGCTAAATGCATGTGCCCAGGTGGGCGGCAGCCCTCATGCTTTCAGCTCGGGGCAGAGGAAGCGTCCAGTAAAAGGAGGAGTAATAAAGGAGAGTTCCCTTGAAGGACTCAGTACTGGGATTGTAGCTGGGTCCAGCAAAACACAGTTTTACCAACAAAGGGGCTTCCAGAGAGATGAAGAGAATTCGGTAGAAGGAGAAAGATGTGGAAGAAGGAAGTTACAAAGAAATTCCAACTTAGAGTAAAAAGAAGCCCCTCCATATAAAGTGGGATTGATGAAGCCAGAGTTATTTACCTGCTGAGTTTACGCAGCAGGTGAGGGGAGAGAGGGAGCTGAGCTTCCTCCCAACTGTGAATGAAGGTGGTGGAGGCAAGGCGAAGGTCTGATGTAGGGAGGAGGATGTTAATGATAAGGAAGGGGATTGGAATCAGTTCCTGGCACAGCCCAAGTATTCAATGACTTTTTTCACACTGAATGAAATACTACTGGAAGAACTGATTTTTATTGGTGAATTTCTTCGCTTCTCATCCAGGAAAACCAGCAAACATACTCTGCTCTGCTTGCTTTGGGAAAGGATCTCAGTTCATGGCTGGTGTCCGATGGAAGGTGAACAGAACCACAGTTCAGAACTTTGGTGAAGCAAGAATTCAAGAGGAACAGGAGCAAAATCAAAGGTATTTTTTTATATTGAGGCTGATACATCCCCTTTTCCTCCCACACAATTTGCAACAGCAAAGTAAGCACTGAACATAACATGTTGCCTTTTTAGCTCTAGCAATGAGCTGACTTGTCAGAACACTACTTTGAGAATAGATGGTGTGAGAGAGGAGGACTTGTCGCTGCGGTACGAATGTCTGGCTCAGAGTCTGCATGGCTGGATACGGCACATCGTGAGACTAAAGAGGAAAAGACCAAGTAAGGAGTGTTCCTGAGACTTTGGTCACCCAAGTTAGCTGCATCAACTGTAAGCTGAAATCATTTCTTAGAGAACAATGTGTTGGAGTGTGGTTCCAGGGCGCATCTCTCACAACAATGGACATGACCCACCTCGTAGAATGTGCTTCTCCTGTAAAGAACACTGACCTTTGTAGTATGGTTTCCCTGGTTGCTTCTCTACAGCTTTACTTCCCCCTTCCTGCTCCTCTCCCTCTTCTCCCTTCTCTCACCCTTTCTCCTCTCCCTCCACCTTCTCCTACCCTCCATCTCCTCCTCTCCTCTTCCTCCTACCCCCTCCTCCTTTCTTTCCCCTCCTCCCCCCTCCCTCTTGCCACCCTCCTCCTCCTTTGCCTCCACCCATCCTCCCTCTCCTCCCCTTCCTCTTCCTCTTCCTTCTCTCCCCCCTCCCACCCCTTCCTCCTTTCTTTACCCACCCCCCCCTTACCTTCTCATTTTGGTTCCTCTTTAACACGCAGCTGCTTCCTTGGCCATCCTTCTGCTTTCATTAGCTCTTTCTGTCTCACTATATATGAAAGAACACACTAACAGCAAATGTGAATATGTTCTATGTTACCTTTCATGACTTTTATGGCACGTTATAAACATGTTCCCTTCTATAAATTTTTTTTTGGTCCTAAAGAATGCACATTTTGTTAGTGAGGCTGGCAAAGTAGATGAAAAGATGAAGTATGTAATTACTGCCCATTCCAGGAAGAAGATCTTAGGACACTACTTTGTAATAAGACATTATGTGCCATTATTGTTAAACTTTATAAAATAGTAAATCTATTTATTTATTTATTTATTTATTTATTTATTTATTTTCTACTTGCAAAACCTAAAGTATTTACTCTCTGGTCACTTCCAGGAAAAGCGTGTGATCTCTTACATCCTGTCTCTTTTTAAAAGAAAAACGTTTATGCTCTAATGCTATACTGTCTTATTTCCTGTAGCTGTACAGTCAACCTTGATTTTGGGTAGAGTAAGTCTTCCAATTTTATTCTTCTTCAAGATTGCCTTGGCTGTTCTTTGACCTTTGTATTGCCACATAAATTCTCTTCGATATATTTAGATTATAAACATGCTTTGCTACAAGTTACATAGAAAGTTTTATAGCTTATTTTATAATTATTTAATGTATAATAGAAATCTTCCCATGATAGTAAATGTTCTTCTACACCATGATTTTTAATGGCTTCATAGTATCCCATTATACAGAGAAACCATCATTTATTTCACCAAATACATTTTTGAGCTACATGTCTTTCTTTTTCTGTTTGTTTTTGTTTTGTTTTATTTTGTTTTTTTTTTTTTTAGAGGTTCAATGTATTTAAACTAAAAAAAGAAAACACAATCCGTTCACCTATTTCTCCCTTCCCCACATCTACCCCTGGTAATTACCAATCTCAGTGTAGGTGAAACTCACAGGACGTCTGGTAGCTCAGCTCATTTCTTTATTGTATCTCTTATTCAACAAGCAATTCAGGACCACCTTTTATGAGGAGCCTTCTTTGGCTATGAGTTTGGGGTCTATATTCCTTCCTGGTGTTCCTGTAGGGCCCTGTCTCTATGTCTACACCCCCACACTTAACAGAAATCTGTTTGAGAGTCTGCTGAACGTGACTCTAAGCTCCATGAGGGCAAGATGGCGTCTCACCCATCTTCATGTCCTCCATCTGTAGCACAGCGCCTCTGGTACCTATAGCATGTACTCTATAACAATTTGTTGAATGAATAAATGAACGCATACCAAAGGTATCAAGGAAAATGATTTTTGTACATTTCCACTGCTTTAGCTATAAGGCTTAATTATTCAACAAAGCAACAGCTTACATTTATGTTTGTTAGGGTAGATAAACTTCCCAGTAACTTGGAAAGGCCAAATTGTTTAATAACTTCTCAATAGTTTTATCTGAATCTACTGTGCCTTTAATGACTTCATTATAATCTGATGCAATAAGATATAACAAAAACAGGAAACTGACTATCCTTCAGTAGGTTCAGATACTATATATAATCTTTTAAAATTAAATGGAGAGAATGATCCGTCTTGGGTATAGGTAACAAGGTACATTGTCTGTAAAGAATCTGAAACAGTAATAAGACCATCTAAGAGTCATTGTGCTTTTTTAAAAATGATTTTATTTATTTATTTGAGAGAGAGAGTGAGTGAGAGAGAGAGTGAGAGAGAGAGCACAAGGGTGGGGAAGGGGCAGAGAGAGAGGAAGAAAGAGATACCCCTGCTGAGCAAGGAGTCTGACAGGGGACTTGATACAGGGCTCAACTCCAGGGCCTCTGGCTCAACCCCAGGATCCTGGGATCAGGAACTGAGCCAAAGGCAGACACTTAACTGATTGACACCTCCGCACCGCAGACTCATTGTGCTTTTAATCATCACCTTACCCAGACAACACTAACCAATGTCAGTGATGACACACTTGTCCTCTGGGGGACAGATTTCTTCTTGCTCCCCCTCCCTTGGTATGTCGTTGTGTGCAGTGATGTCAGCAAAAATAGTTTTACAAACATTTCCTTCCTGAGCACCTGTCAACTTTCTCCCTTGTTTGCATTTCCAGGCAAAGACATCTTGTTTGTCAGATGAAGCATTGAATCCAGTATAAATGGGGAGAAAAATGTGGTATTTTTACACTTGTTACTCCATGCACAACTACATGGAAATTATTTAATGTGTTTGTCACATAGTCAAAGGGAGATTTAAGTCCTCAGTTTATACCCCTAAGTGGGACATAGTCCAGATTAATTTGAATAAACACACAGAGGCACAACCTGATGAAAAAAAATTGGGGGTAATAGATAAGCAGACCACCAAGTTCATGTGCTTGTGGTTAAATCTCTGTCTGAAATGGTGCTTGGAAGTTTTGCTTTAATTTAGATTCAAATCACCAATTTGTAAAACAAACAGAATCATGACATTGAGTGCTATCGAGTTCCATGGGTCGCCAGGTTTCTACCAGTAATAATGGAATCACCCCAGGACATATGGACCACGTCACCATGTAGTATTGGACGGTAGCTGGCACAGTGGATCTTCAAGGAGAGGGGAAGCTGTGCCCTTCCCCCCGGAATTGCCATTGCCTCGATATCCTCATGACTTGTTTACATTGTCACTGTATGAATGTTCTCCGACGACCTGTGTATTGGAATTGTCTTCATGTTACATGTACTTGGTGACTTTTTTCCTTCTAGTTTATTTGTATGTGCTACCCTTCCCCTGTTCTTCTTCAAATTAACGTGGTTACACTCTGTTTTGACAACTGTGAACATTAAACAAATTGTTGCTATGGCAGTTTAATCATCACATTTTGACACATCGTTTATTTCCCATCACAAAATAAATTACAACATTGTCTCGAATTTCAACAACAAAAACTTTAAAAGCTTATGTTCCCATATTCCTTGATGTGATTAAATAAATATTTGACACTCCTAATCATAGTAGTACACTTTTATTCATTGTTTTCTTTGGGCCTCTCTGATTATTTCCCATCTCATTTCTTATTTATTTGATCAATAACACATGAGGAAGAGACTGTTACTATCACCCAGTTTTGCTGATGAGGAAATAAGAGGAGGTTAAAAAGCTTGAGGAATTGGAGTTAGAGCCAGAACTCAAACTTAGGCAGTGTTTTCCTGTTTATAAACACTTTCAGAAAGTATTTAGTGTTTACTCACCACATACGGAGTTATTTACACAGGTTTAAAGTCATTAACAGAAAGATACTGAACTTCAACTTTCTTTACTGTCTCAGATTAACTTCTCTCCTCCCAGTGGAAGTGGCCACACACACGCCCAGTTACTTCACCTCGATGTCCCCAAGAAATGGACGTTCCCAGAGGGTATCCAGATAGGACTTTTAGAGAGAGTGACCTGAAGGGGAATCCTGTTGAAATGCTTTCCTTAGGGCATATTTATCGTTTAAACTGATGACAGTGCAGATAGTAAGCTCTCTACCAATTTTCAGCAATACGCCTCCTCCACCGTGCCCCCCTGCTCCCCCGTGTTGAATCTCTTTGCCTTAGCCATTCTTGATTTCACAGTTCTGGATCCTCAGGGTGCTGATGAACAATGGGAGGAATCTGTGAATAATGATTTTCTAGGGCAAGACTGGAGCTTCATGATTTGGGATTTTAGACAAAAAAGGCAGGGAGGGTGTTACAAGAGACAAATCTCCTTTGAGATTGTTCTCATGGTCATCTTTAAGTGAGACTACTTGTAAGAGGAGAGTTAATTCTAAAGAGAGAAGTAAACATACAACAGCCAAAAAATACCATTAATGAGTACAATGCTTGTATACAATTTGTACGTATCTGTTCCAAGTCCTTGAAATCGGGAACCATCTCACGTATACGCTTTGTGCAACAGTGAGTACGAGATGCAGTGCAGTGATGAGAAAAATAAGGGGTGTGTTTAGAACCTAGCACCCCAGGAATATGACTTCCCCATCAATTATGCTTTAGAGACTTACATGGCCCCTGTCTCTTCCCTGCTTTCCTATGCAGTAAGACACCAAGACCTTTTGATTCGTTCTCCTTAATGCCCCAACTCCAGATGTATCTGTTCTTTTCTCATTATTACACAGGTCTGAACCCTCCTTATGTTTCACCACAAGTATTGCAGAAACTTCCCGTCCATTTTCTTCTAAGTAATTATGGTCTCTTCCCACAGAGACAAATCTTCCCCTACCTTCAGATTAATCCTGCTTGTCAACCGCTTTCATTGTTAACATCCCACTCAACACTCATCAGTGGCTCCCGTGACCTTCCCGAATAAAGGCAAAATGCCGGAATGGGAGCCCCAACTTTGGTCAGAACCGAGCCCTGAGACACATTTCTTGTTGTTTCTTCCACTACTTCCCCATGCTGGATTACTCCGGTTCCTCAGAATACACCACATCTCTGCCCTTGGGCTCACAGCAGCTCCTCTTGTCAGGAGTGCATTTTTTTTGTTTCCTGGTTCTCTAAAACTTCTCTCCCCCTGCAGGAAGCCTCCATTACCCACTCCAGCCTGGAGGGAGCACTCCTAAAAACCTCTGCCAGCTCCAATCACACTTTTACCTCCTATCTTAGTTAAGTTTACATTTGGGGCCACACCTTGTATGCTTTGAGAAGCCCCTACCATGCCTAGCTTGCTGTCTTGCCTAGGGGAGGCACTCAGTAAATGTTTACTTACTGATTCCTAATGCAGACATGCAAATGCCAGGCAGGCATCTCCTGTACGAATTTCTCGTCCTCCCAGTGGAGGTCTGTTTATTTTACCTTGTTGTAGGAATATTAGTGATCATTTTTGTCCTCCCCTTATCTTTTGAATAGATGACAAGCAAAGCACCTACTACATCCTGGCGGGATTTAGCACCTTGTTAATGCTAATCAACGTCATGGCCATAATGCTCAAAGTGTTCTGGATTGAGGTTAATCTGCTCTGGAGAGACCTAGCTAGACCTCACAAAGTGAGGAATGGTAAGTGGCAAGTTCCACATTTTTCTTCAAAGAAAAGGATCCATGCTGGCTGTTGGTGGCTCATTTGTTGATCTCTTAATAGCTATGGTACTAAACCCAGATTTTGCTGGCTAACATATTGTTAGCAGATCTTTTTTTTTTTTTTCTCAGTCCACTCGGAGGCCAGTCTCTGTCCTTTTTGATGCTCCGTATGGTTCTGAGATACATCTCAACAGCTCAAATCTCCTCCCCCAATAGGCTTGCTGTTCCTGCTAAATCAAGAACAGAATCAGCCCAAGCCCAGAAAAGTTTAATCATTTTGGAAAATGTGTATTGGAAAACTTCATGGAATTCAAAACATTAACTAAAGTGTTCCTGCTTTCCAGATGTGAACAGCTTAGACAGAGCCATCAGAAGGCAGGTGTATTTTACCAGAAAGCCCACTCCTTACAGAGCCCTACCTGTGTGCACAAGTATACACCTGAAAGAATACATTTATGCCTGCTAAATCAGACAACATTCTCTCCTTTGGAGGCAGATATACTCTACATTTTCCATATGGTCCACTCAACTAGGGCTAATTATTTGATTTGTGGGAAATATAGATCCCTTAAAAAAATTCTCCTTTCGCATTTTCATTTCCTAGGTTAGGGGAAAACAACAGCTAAAACTGAGATCTACTCCAAAAACAGAAGATCCCTTATCCATGACAGATATTTATCAATAAGTTATTAATTAAATTTGACAGTATGGTGTATGCTAAACTTGCCTCTCTACCATTCAGTCTGAGGCAGTAAAGGGAGAATACTTGCAGATTAAGATTGGTTTTCTGATGACATTTTGCGGTAGTGAGTTGTGGTCACCATCTCTGGATTCTAGAATGTTTTGGGGGATGGGATACACACACCAACAATAATAAAATTCGGGGGAGAATGTCTAGGAGGAGTCAAATGGGAATTTCCAGAGCCAAGGAATAAAGTTGTACTTCTTGTTCTTATTTTCAGATGGAAAGATCTATGATGCTTACGTTATCTATCCGCGGAACTATAAAAATAGTCCCGAGAGGGCCAATGCCGTGGGCCACTTTGTTCACCAGATTCTGCCTGAAGTTCTTGAAAATAAATGTGGCTATAACTTATGCATTTATGGGAGAGATCTGCTACCGGGAGAAGGTAAAGCTATCAACACACATCAGGGACAGAAAGTCACGTTTATCAGAAGGCCAAGGATAGGTGGTCTTATCCCTGTGTTGGATAAGGAAATACAATCATTATTCCAGGCCTTAAGACCAGAGTTTTAAAATATGTCTCCAGAAGAAGGAGATACTTATTCTTTGCTTGTCCTTCCCCCATAGCCGACCTGATCATGAGGTCTTCATAAGAGTATCAGTGATGTGAGGACACTGCTATGCGGATTTAGCAAGACATGGCCCCTATTTGACTTCCCATGTCCACTGCTAGGATAACTGACATACATCTTAATTCTCTCTAGAAGAGCTGAAAGAAGACTCAAAAAAGAAAAAAAAAAAAAACCACCAACAACAAAGAAATGTGTTCTCATACCTAGAGGCATTGACTGAAATATTTGCAAGGATTCAGAAAGTCTTCGTGCTTTCCCCTGTTTTGGAGAAACATTTGCAAATGTGTATTCTCACCACATCCACTAGAGCTGTCTCCTGTTTCTTAGTCGATTCCATGTACCTTCCATAGTTTGTCACAATTCTGGCCTTTCAGTAGGTGTTCTCCTCCTCCCTCTATATTTATGTCAAGTACCCATGAGCCCTCCTTATAGCTCTTCTCTAATTCCTCAGAGACCAGGAAGTGTTTGGAATTTTCCTGAGGCAGAAGCATCACTGAGGGTAAGTCCAATAAAGTGAATGCTTAGTAGACTGTGAATTTAAACTGGCATTTCCACTGCAAAGAGGGATTCAAGCATCTGTAGACGTAAAGGAACACCCAGCAGGTGAATCTACTTCATCCTGGAATATTTAGGCAATGTTAATCCCCCCACAATGGTGTGGGTAACTTTGTAAAATGAATGATTCAGGAAAACGGAATCCCAGTTTTCTCTAGAAGCTTTCTTCTTCCTCCAGCTCTCCCGTTGGCTACTCATTCCAGTAGAAAGAAATGAGCTGCGGTGCTCAAACGCTCTTTTCATGTTACACATCTGCTCAGGAAGCTGCAGGGACCCCAGCTGTTTGTGACGTCACACCACCTGCCACATCTGGCTGCAAACCCTTCATCGCTTTTGTCTCAGATCCATCGACCTCCTTTCTAGTTCTACCTCGCTCCAGCCCAGTGTGAACACCGGCGTGCTGAGGCTCAAGCTTGCGTGGCCTGCATCGTGCTGTTTTTCACCTGGGAATGTTCCCACCCCCCTCCCTCAAGCATGTCCTCTGAACCTTACTTTAACCCAAGGAAGGTCAGATATAACAAAACAACACCAAACTTCACTCGTCCCTTTGGAAAAGTTCGTGACTGCATCAGTGGTATTTCTTCCCATGCTAGTTACCTTCTGGAGCTTTGCCCCTTCAAATCTACTCTGCACCCTGCTCCATCCAGTGGCCCCGGGGAGAGTGGGGGAAGAGCTGGTCATTATGGAATCTATCAGGCCCCTGCCCTCTGCTCCCTGCTGGGTTCCGCCAATGGAAGCAGAAGTACAGAGGCAGGCATCGGGCAAGGTTGCCAGGGGAGCTGGGCTCTTCTCTCCCAGAACATGGGCTCCTGTTAGCTGCCTTTATAGACCTTAGCTTTCATAATTGCTTCTTCCCCTTCACACCTGGAGGGGGGTAATGCCTCCCTGGCTATTTCCGGTGCTGGGGTTCCGAGGCATCTCTCGTTGATTTCTCTTGGCTCTGTCCACATCTTTTATAAATTCTCCTCTCATTAAACTCTCTTAAGTCAGTCCTTTTGAGTGTGCTGAGTTTTCTGTTAGGATCCTGACCAACATGAAGTCTCTATCTGGTGCTATTCAACACTTACTTCCCTAGTTCACACACTACATGGGTTGGCAGTCTTTTGGCTGCCCTGCTCTAAGAAATTCTTGAGTGGTTTCGTTCATGGTTGCATTTCTTTGATTTCTCCAGTCCCTCCTTGCAGGGAGAGCTGAGTATTTTACATGTGCTTTCTAAGTCTGCCCAGAAGTTTCCTGCTATCACCATGGAGCTGATGCCGTATAAACTCTAAATTGATAAGGGGATCTGGTCTTCCTTAAGATCTTTCTAGTCTGAATCAAATCAGCTTCTCAAACAGAGACATTGGGGAGTGACGTGAATCCAGGACTCCCTTAGAGATTTTAATCAGTTCAGAGGAGCAACAGTCCCTAAGAGTGAACGTACTAAGCCCTGGCAAAACACATACGCTAATATTCTAAGAAGATAATACATAGCTAATGAACTTGAATTCTGATTCTCCCACTAAATATCTCTACCTGCTATGTAACTCCAAGGATTCATTTTAGTTAGAACTGACCTACCTGGGAAGGAAGAGGGGCTTGGGACTGATGTGCTCACAGAGAGAGGGGTAAGTCAAACATAACAGGTTGTCCCTTCAAGCACATTCCCCCTTTCCTGAATGAAGAACTGATCAGTGTCAGAATCCCATAACAGATTAAAACCATAACTTTTTTTTTTTTTTTTAAGTCCAGAGCATTCATGATCAAAGCATTAGATTTCAAAACGCAGCATCAGGAAATGTGATCCGGGGCTTTTATTCCCAGACGCAGCCATTGCCGTGGAGAACAACATACGAAAGAGCCGGCGGCAGATTTTTATCCTGACTCCTGAGCTGGTCCACAGCAGGGAGTTTGCCTACGAACAGGAGATCGCCCTACACAGCGCCCTCATCCAGAATGACTCCAAGGTGATCCTGATAGAAATGGAGGCTCTGAGCAAGCCCGGTGGACTGCGGTTTGAGGAGCTTCAAGAGTCCCTCCGGCACCTCGTGGAAGTGCAGGGTACCATCAAGTGGAGGCAAGACCACATGGCTGACAAACGGTCGCTGAATTCCAAATTCTGGAAGCACGTGAGGTACCGCATGCCTGTGCCCAACAAACCCCTGGGGAAGACACCCAGTTTGGCTTCCCTGAGCGCCCAGGAGCAGTAGTGCTGGCTTTGGTGTGCTAGTAAGGCACCCACTTTCCACTGACCTGAACTCCTACTCCTGGATGACGACACTGGACCAGACACTGGAGCAGGGGCAGGAGGAGTGGTGATGTCTAGAGGAGGCTGGTCTCTGATTTCATTTACCAACTTGACTCCCATTTTCCTGATTATGGGGGGATGCAAAACAGCCAGAAATTTCTTTTCTCGACCCCTCTCTCTTCAGCCCACTTTTCCTGTCTTTTCTCCCTTTACTGATCTTTCTCCATGTGGCCTAGTATTTTTTCATTATCCTTTTTTCCCCTCTTTCTCTCTCTTTCCCGTTCTCCTTCTCCTTATTCCTTGTCAATACTCCACACGTTAAACTTCAAGCTGGAAGTGTTAGAGCTAAATTTTCATGCAACCTTGAAGAACACTCAGATTTCCGCAAGCAGAACAGTAACAGTCCTTCTTATTCCCAACCAGACCAGCATTTATTCTATTTTATTTGACTGGATGCTGGGTTTTTTCATCTCGATGTTGTCAATGTTATTGGATGGGCTTACCTGGTTGCCATTATAATCAAATTTTTGCTGCTCTAAAATTTCTTTCAGAGATTTTCATTCTCTTTAGAAATATTTTTTTCAGGTTCCTGGGTGGTTCACTTGGTGGAGCATCTGTCTTCGGCTCAGGTCATGATCCCAGGGTCCTGGGATTGAGTCCTGCATCTGGCTCTCTGCTCAGCTGGGAGTCTGCTTCTCCCTCTCTCTCTGTGATCTCTCTCACTTTCACTCTCTCTGTCAAATAAATGAATAAAATCTTTAAAAAAGAGAGAGAAATTTTTTTCTCCCTCTAAAAGTTACAGAAGAACAGAAAATATGAAAGAAGAAAAGAGCAAAAATTATCCATAAATCCATTATCCTAAGATAATGACTCTTAAACATTGTGGTAAATTTGTATTCGAAAAAAATTTGAATTTGTGCTAAAACATACCATTTATGTAGTGAGCTCATACAGTGTGTAGTTTTTATATTTTTTCCTATTTTACATCATGAGAAAAAAATTTTGACATGTCACTTAAATTTTAATATTTTAAATATTCATAGAATTCTATTTCATGGTTGTGCCACAGTTGATGTACCTCATTATTTATTGTTGTATATTTGAGTTGTGTTGAATGAAAACGGCCATAATAATAAGTAATTCTTCAATGGCCATGTCAGTATATCTTATATTTCCCAATTATGATTTCTTTTTAATTTAAGAAATTGGTTTGTTGCAACATTTCTATGAAATCTGTAGGGCATTTTGGCAGAACCATTTAGCAAAAGGGAAGGTAAGGTGCACAGTCAATACCACTGCCATTAATTCCCTAAAGGAGTTCACATGCCCTCAGTGCCAGCAGTGTCTTCTCAGGCTGGGAGTCTTGTGAGAGCTCAGATTTTACAAGTGGATGGAGATCCTACCCTTAGCTGAGCTTTTTCTTTTTTTTTTTTTTAATAAAGAAACAGATTTATTTTTTAAAAAATATTTTATTTATTTGACAAAGAGAAAGACAGTGAGAGAGAGACAGAGCACACAAGCAGGGGGAGTGGCAGAGGGAGAAGCAGGCTTCCCACCAAGCAGGGAGCCAGAAGTGATTTTCGATCTCAGAACCCTAGGATCATGACCTGAGCCGAAGGCAGCCGCCTAACAACTAAGCCACCCAGGCGCCCCCCTAACTGAGCTTCTTTAAAAAGTGTATATTGGGGAGATTTTATTTATTTATTTGACAAAGAGAGAGAAAAAGAGAGAGAGAGCACAAGGCAGAGGGAGAGGGAGAAACAGGCTCCCAGCTGAGCAGGGAGCCTGATGCGGGGCTCAATCCCAGGACCCTGGAATCATGACCTGAATAGAAGGCAGACACTTAACCAACTGAGCCACCCTTGCCCCTCTGATTTGGGGCTTAACTGCAAAAGAAAACTGCACGCCAGCCCCTCGACAGGGAGTGTAATTTTGAACTGTCATTCAATGCCTGAAAAGAAATTGTATTTCTGGAAGATTGCCTAAAGGACCTGTAGTTACCCATCCCTTTATATACCATATAACCTGAATCTATACTCCCCGGATTAAGGTTGCCAGATAAAACACAAGACATTAGTTGAATTCAAAGAATGAAATTTCATCTGAAATTAATCTGAACTTCACATTTAGCTGGGACTCTTGTGTTTTTATTTGCTAAATCTGGCTGCCCTACTCTGGTTAGTTATTGTGCTTTTATATGGTGATATTTGATTTTACGGAACTGCTAAAACAACTAGTCTGTGGGAAGGATGCCGTCTAGTTGATTGGTTAACATCACTTAATATGGAATCAACAAGCCATCCTCTGCTATCAGCCGGCTTTGTGACTATGAGTAATATCATCAGGAAGAGATGTGCCTTTAATCCTGCTTCCCCACTGACCAAGACTGACAGAACTGTTTTTGATATGTGGACATAAATAATTTTACAACTGATTTTATTTTCCTCTTCAGTTAGCTACTTGGACACACAGAGCCCAACTTGGGCTCTTTCTACAGCAAGTACATAGGATATAACAAGCAAGTTATAATAATCTCTTCCTTGTTTTTTTATTATTTTATTTTTGAATGTATTTTAACCATCTATATTGTAAGCTGCTTTGTAATTTATCACTTACATTTTTCTGAACGTGTGCTGAGTATCTCTTTGACAGGGGCAGGGAGAAGAAAGGCTGTGGAGGCGTACACAGGGTAATCAGGCATGCTCCTTATTAACCTTATGGGGTTTGAATCCATTGAGGAAACCCAGAGGGATGAGGGAAAGACTTCACAGAACCCAGAGAGGACTGGCCCCAGGGCAAACTCTGACGTTGCTGAGCTCTTTTTTCCCAAACCTACACACCACCTCCCAAGTCACTCGAGCTTCAGTTTCTGCAACTAAATCATGGGAGGATGGAGGAGAAGAGCTCTGAGGGCTTCCTCAACTCCAAGCGGCTGATTCCAAGCGCATGCTCACAGAGCAGCTGCGGAACTGCCAGAAGTCTGGCTTCTCAGGCCAGCACACCACCAACCTCTCCTAGTTTCTTCCTCTGTGCGGCGACAATAACAGATGCTTCGCCTACCACACAAGGTAATGTGAATGAAATGAATTCAGCCAAAACCAGTGGGGTGTCTACTATAGGATCCTAGTAAAAATTCTGGTGAATTATAAAAACACAAGGAATTGCCCTTTCTCAGATCAAATTTCCATGTGATAAAATGCAGATTGTTAATTTTGATGAGTCTTGACAATCACACATACCTGTGTAGTTGCCATCTCAAATCAGGTAGAAATATTTCCATCAGGGGCACCTGGGTGGCTCAGTCAGTTAAGCGTCTGAGTCTAGATTTTGGCTTAGGTCATGATCTCCTGGGTCATGAGATCAGGCCCCAATGTCAGGCTCCTCAGTCAGTGGGGAGTCTGCTTGAGATTCTCCCCCCCTACCCCTGCCCCGACTTGTATCCTTTCTTTCTCTCTCTCTCTCAAATAGAGGGATAAATAATAACTCTTTTAAAAAAGAAGTATTTCTATCACCTCCCAGGGAAGTTCCATCCAGCCATTTTCCAGTCAATCCCTCTCCTTCCTCGGAGGCAAACAATGTTCCAATTTCTATCTCCATGGATTAGTTTTGTCAGATCTTGAAATTTCTATCAATAAAGTCAGATGGACAGCTCTGGGACTCCCTGCTTCCACACAATGTAAAATTTTGGAGATGTATCCATGGTTCGCATGTGTCCATACTTCTTTCCTCTGTGTTACTGAGTTGTATTCCGTTGTGTGGCTGGACACAGTTTCACCTCTCCCTTGGTGATGGACGTATGGGTTGTTTCACGTGGTACCTCTCGTGACTATGGAGACTGTGGACATTCTTGGGGACATGTGTTCTTACTTCTCTTGGCTCAATACCAGGGAGTGGTCTCTTGTAGAAAACTGTCAAACTGACAAACTAATTGTACCATTTTACGTTTCCTCCAGTTAAGTATGAGACCGTTCTTGTTCTACCTCCTCACTGATGATTGGTACTGTCAGGTTACTTTGAATTTTAGTTATTTCAGGAGGTGTTAAAAGAATCTTATTGTGGTTTTAATTTGCAGTGGTCTGACGATTAATGATGTTGAACTTTTTCATGCTCTTATTCACCAGAAGATTCATGTATCACTCAGTGAAAGTAGAATCTTCTATACATTTAAAGATTGCGTTGCTTTTCTTCATGTTGTTGATGTGTGAAAATTTTTTATATATTCTGGATATGAATTCCTTTTCAGATAGGTATAAGGTGACAATTTTCCCAGGTTTATCTTCTTTCCTCTTCATTTTTTTAATGGTATCATTGATTAGCAGACATTTTTAATTTGGTAACATTCAATTGGTCATTTTTTTAAAAGATTTTATTTATTTCTTTGACAGAGAAAGGGACAGCAAGAGAGGGAATACAAGCAAGGGAAGTGGGAGAGGGAGAAGCAGGCTTCGCACTGAGCAGGAAGCCTGATATGGGGCTCGATCCCAGGACCCCGGGATCATGACCTGAGCTGAAGGCAGATGCCTAATGACTGAGCCATCCAGGTGCCCCACAATTGGTCAATTTTTCTTATATGGTTAGTGTTTTCTGTGTCTTAGCTAAGTGTTGTTTTATTTGTTTGTTTGGTTTAACCTCGAGGTCTGGAGATATTTCTTCATGTATCTTTATGAAATATTCCAGTTTCCAGCTTCTCTATTTAAGTCTATGGTCCACTGTGAGTTGATGTTCGCATACAGAATGAGGTAAGGGTCAATGTTCTTTTTTTTTTTTTCCTATAGAGATGCCCAATTGTTTCAGCAACAATTGTGGAAGACTTTTCTTTCTCTATTGAACTGACATGGTGCTCTGGTCAAAAATCATTAGGCTGTATATGTGTGGGTCTATTATTCTACTTTCTATTATTTTTCATTTATATGCTCATGCAAATATCACACTGTCAAGATTAGTAGTTCCTTATTGTAAGTCTTCAAGTCAGGGTAAGTTCTCTGACTTTGTTCTTTATGTCCAACATTGTTCTGACTGTTCCAGATCATTTGCATTTTCATGTATATTTTAAAACCAGTTTCTCAATTCCTTTGAAAATTCCTCCCGGGATTTGGATTGCATGAAATATACAGACTCTATAACCTATAGAGTCTAAAAATGTATAGACTCTATGAACTCCACAATTTGTGCAGAATAAATATCTTAACAATGAATCTTCTAATCCATAAATATGGCATATCCCTCTATTTTTATGTCTTTCATGTCTCTTAGCAGTATTTTGTTGATTTCATGGTAGACATTTTGTACACATTTTACGAGATTTATACTTTGATATTTGATTTTTTATGGTATTGTAAATGGTATTTTTAACAAATTTCATTTTTCAAATTTCCATTACCAGCATATAGAATGATAATTGATTTTTGTATATTGAATTTTTATTCCACGATCTTGCTAAACTCATTTATGACTTCCAGCAGCTCTTTAGTAAATTTCAAAGGGCGAGCTACATAAAATTATGCCGTCTATCAGAAAGAGTAGTCTTATCTTTTCCTTTACAATCCGTATGCCTTCTATTTTTAATTCTTTACTTTTCACAAAAAGACAATCCTTATCTTGTTCTCCACTTTATCAGATTAGGAATGTTCCTTTTGGTTTTCAGTATTCCAAGTGTTGTTAATGAAGGAAAAGCTGTTGAATTTTGACAGATGCTTGTTCTTATTGCATTTATTGGGATAATTGTATGATCTTTCTCTTTTATTTTGTGATGAACTATTTTGACTGAAGAAAAGGGATGAAAATCACTGTCTGATTAAACCCTCTCATTGTCAGCCATTCTTCGGTTTTGATGGAAAGATCCTACTACAGACCAATCTAAAAACTTTGAAACACATGTTCTCTTTTTGCCTCCTTTTCTTCTAAACAGTTAAAAAATCTCAATTGAACACTTCTGCTCCCTCTCTTTGACTTCCTAAAAGAGATTACCCCCCCCCGCCCCCCAGGCCTAAACAGAAGTCCTCAGCACAGATCTGAGACTTGAGTGCCTCAGAGAATGGCCTCCTCCTCACTTTGGATGACCCCAGGGAGCATTCCTGTGTTTGGGGGCCTCTTCCTTGTCCTCCTTCCCCTTAACCACAGGTGGTGCCCCTCTGCCCAGTGCAGGCTGTTTCTTCCCCAGCCTGACTCTGGTGCAAATCTCTCGGCGACCTGTAGGGTGCGCAAGGAGCAGCACCGAGCGTCCCGGGGCTCTACAGGTCCCATGGACACCGCCCACCGCCCGCGAGCTCCCGAAACTCGCCACCCGCTGCTGGGACCACAGCCGGTCTCGGCGCAAGGGCGAGGTGTGGGATTTTCCTGCTTCGTGCAGTAGCGCCCGCGATCAAGAGGCTCCCGGAACTCAGAGGCGGGGCGCCCAGTGGAGGAGTCCATATACCCGGCACGCTGCGAGGGGCGCCCCAGACCAGGTGCACCCCAGAGCCAAAGCATCCGGAACCGGGCGTACCCCACGCCCCCACCTAGGAACACCACGAACTGGGAGGATTCCCGCCCCCGACCCTCACTGGGAGGAATCCCCGACGAGGAGCATCTCTGATTGGAGCATCCCAGACCCGGGACACTCCGCGGGACAGAACAGCGCCCCACCTAGCACTGCGGACACGGATCTGCGTCCCACCTACAGCCTCCGCGGCTGCCAGACGCCTTTTCTTTCCTCTTACTCTCTGTTCCTTTTTTTTTTTTTTCTTTCTTTCTTTTCTTTCTTTCTTTCCCCAACCTTCTCTAGTTGCCTTACATCTTTAATCACACTTGCGGTTCCTCTCGTTCCTTTCCTGTTTCCCAGTCCCAGTGCTAGGGAGGCAGCGCACCGGTTTCTCACCTGCTTCTGGAACCCCTGCCTCCGCGGTCGCGACCAGAGTGCAGGAGGGACGGCCGCCCCCGCCGCGGCCTCGCGGAACTCGGCTTTGAAGGTAAGGAGCCGCGCCCCGCTGCCAGCCGCACCCTCTTCCCACTGCCCTCTGCCGCCAGCCCGCCAGGGAAGAGGCAAGAGGCGCCCCAGCCTCGGGGCAGGGCTTCTAAAAACAAGATCGGTTAAGAACGAGTGCCGTTATGTGTACAGATCTTCCTCCACTTCTGATGGTAGTTCTGAAAAACCCCGCCGAAGCTGGAAATAGCCTGTCACTGGAACATGCATTTAATACATCTAACCTCCTGAACAACACACTTAGCCCAGCTTACCTTGAAGGTGCTCAGAACACTTCCATCTCTTGTTCACCCTCATGATCCCCACGGGGACTAGGAGTTGCAGCTGATGGGGATCATAGAACATATCACTAGCCTGGGGAAAAAAATCCAAATTCAAAATCCAAGTATGGTTTCCACTGAATGTGTATCTCTTTTGCACCATCACACAATCAAAAAAACCTAAGTGGAGCCATCATATGTAGGGGCTGTGTATATATATGTATACATGCAGATATGTATATACATCAATATAGTTTTAAAAATACTAAGTGTGTGTGTGTGTGTGTGTGTGTGTGTGTGTGTGTGTATACTCAATGTGTCTTAAATAGTAACTTATTGTTAAAAATATATACTTCTGGGGGCGCCTGGGTGGCTCAGTGGGTTAAAGCCTCTGCCTTCGGCTCAGGTCATGATCCCAGGGTCCTGGGATCGAGCCCCGCATCGGGCTCTCTGCTCAGCAGGGAGCCTGCTTCTCCCCTCTCTCTCTCTGCCTGCCTCTCTGCCTGCTTGTCATCTCTGTCAAATAAATAAATAAAATCTTAAAAAAAATATATATATATACTTCTGATATATTAAATTTACTTTTAGGTATACAAATAAGTCCCCTAGATTAGTGTCTACCATGGTTGCATATTAGAATCACCTGGAGGATTTTTAGCAGGCAGGATGCTTAGACTGTACCTCAGCTGTCTGGCTGGGGACCAACGTGTTGTGGTGGTGGTGGTGGTGGTGGTGGTTATTGTTATTTAAGTTCCAGGGGGCGATGAGTGCCCTAGCCTTCATATCAGTTGTTACAACGTATTTTCTGAGATGTCATAATATTAGAAGTATTTCAAAGGTAAGATTAGGCAGATGTCACAGAGGATCAAATGATCACCTAAGACACCAAACTGTTTATACTTGATGAATTGAATGCATTCATCAATTTAGCAAATAATAAACAAACATAAAGTATGTCAGTTGGGGACAAGTGCTATGAATGGAAAAACAAAGCGCAGAGGAAGAGGAGAGAGTGGTGTGTGCGCACATGAGTGGGCACGCACATGTGTTTACACACACACGCATGCATAGTGCACGTATTTGCTCCCAAGCGGTCATGCTGTTAGATCTCCATAGAGCGCTTGCAGACAACCCGTACGTGATTAACTTATACTGTCAGCACACTGTAAAGGAATGGCAGGACTCTTTAATTAATTATAGAGAAGGAATTAGTAGCTCTTTGAGAAAAACAAGTTGAGTTAGACCTAGCTTCATACCAAACAAGAAAATTGTTAATGGGTAAAACAGTTCTAATGTAAAAAAACAAAAACCAAAAAAATCCCTAAGCCATAAAAATGAAGAAAGTATACCTTGAGTATGCATCTGACAACTGAGGGGAAAGGAATGTTCAACAATGGAAAAGTAATGGAAAAGTCACAAAGGAAAACATGGTGGGCTTGACTTTGTAAATGTAAAGTCTCCCAGATGTGAAAACAGAAAAGGAAGAATTTGAAAGTAAACTCAACAAATTAAAACAAAACAAAACAAAACACTAAAACATCTAAGAACTGGACCAAAGGCATAAAAAAAATAGTTCATACACAAAGGAATAAAATAGCTAAAAACTATATGCTTAATATTCTCCCATATTTATATCAGCAGAAATGCAGGTTTAAGAAAACCATGAGACATCATTACCAATTTGAAGAGTGAAGTACATTTAAAGAATGAGAACGCCCAATGCTTATATGGGTGTGGTAGATGTATATTATCTTCTACAACTGAGGAGTATGAATTATTACATTTCTGGAATGCAGTTTGGTAGTAGGTGTTTATCATGTTTAAAATGTATTCTCTATCCTATAAATTGTATTGCCATTGTCATAACACCAAGAAAATAATTAAAAAGGTAGATAAGTAACTAACATTGAAGTGATATTTATGACACGTGGATACTTTGCGGTAGTAATTCATGAAACCTTCACATCACTTCCGGGAGGAGGTATTGTTATTCTCTTTCCTGGATAAAGAAACTGAAGAGCAGGGAGGATAAGTGATTGGTCCAAAGTTAGTTCAGCTGGGAAAGAATAGGATGAGGATTCAAATCCAGCCAGTCTGGTGCCAGAGACTGTGCTCCCAAACCTCATCTATACCGCCTAACACAAAAAGGTAGTCATAGGGATTATTTTGTAATAAAATATATCTTATAAATTATAATAGACACATACTGAGGGATATATGTAGCGATTAAGAATGATATTAACAAAGAGATTTTTGTGACACAGCAAAGTGATCATTGATTAAGTAGAAAATGCAGGATATGAACATTTTTTAACATCTTAATTATTTGAAAATCATGCAGAAAAAGTACAAGGAAGCATGTTAAAGTATTATGCATATTGAGATCATTTTCTTCTTTTCAATCTTCATTTTATAATGTCCTATATTGGGCATTATACTACTTTAGAAATCAAAAACAATTTTTTAAAAAGAAAGAGAGAGAAAGAAAAGAAAGAAAAAAATTTAAAAATTATGGAAAGGCAAAAAAAAAAATCAATGTAAAACATAACACCAAACCCCCCCAAATTCCTTCATGCAAGAAATTTAATATTTATATTCTATGTATGTCTTATTAATACTAGGATATCTATGACATTTCTTAGAACAGCTTTTCTTTTGGAAATGAGTTCTATTATTTAATATCTTGATCTTTTAAATCTATAATAAGTACATTAAAATTTATGTATCTACACACACAGAACAGTGCCAATATCAGCTAATTTGGGATCATAACATGTTTCATATTGAAACTCAGAGGTAACTCATCGGAATACTGAATTATTTCATAGAAACTTTATCTCTCAGCAGACCTTAAAAATTAACAGAAACCCAAACCAAGAAGAAAACAGCAGTGCCATTTACAAGACTGTGTCAACCTTAACCGGAGGAAACAATACTTTTCTTTCTATCTGAGGTAAGAGAATGGATAGTTAATAATAAATGTGTATATGTATGTGGGTGTGGGGGGTTGATTTCAAACCATAGAACCATAGAGATCTAATTTGGTTTTGAACAGTTTGTGCTTTCCATATGTATTTAACTCTTTGTCTTTACTTTATTGATTGTTATTTCTTGGAAATTACAGCAGATGCTTTGTTATTCATTAAGATTGAATGAATAGCCTTAGCCACTAAACTTAGCCACTAAACTTCATTCAGGAATTGGGCATTAACAGTCTTCCCCCCATCCCCCTCCTCCTCCTCCTGCTCCTTCTTTTTTAAATATGGGAGGTGAGTGGCAGTTGGTAACAGAATTATTTGGGACTGAGAGGTTACCATGCATCCAGAAAGCTTTTTGTTACTTAGCTCATCTAATGACTCAATAATTTTGATGATAGGCCTTCTTCCTCATCTCCATTTTGGTAATGAGCAGATAAGGTATGTTTTATTACATTTGGTAATGAGAAGATAGGACCAATAATTTTGGTGATAGGCCTTCTTACTCATCTCCATTTTGGTAATGAGTAGATAAGATCTGAGACTTTAAGTAACTTGTCTAAGGTTACACCAGTGGTCAAGGCTCAAGCTGGAATGCCGACCCAGGTTTGTGTGCCCCAGGAAGCAAGCTCTTCTGTCCACCCGGTGGAGTTTGGTGTGTGCTACGCAAGGATCATGGGATTGTTTATGCAATATTCACACTAGTGTCAGAGACCCAATGCCCCCTTCCTCTCTAAATCTGTAATTCATAGGATAAAAGATGGATTGAGTAGGATTGAAATTCAACACATATTTGAGTTCATGGAGATTAGGCATTTGGAGTGTAGGAAACTCCTGTTTTGTTTCTCCATTTCCCTCAAATAAACACACACCCATACACCTATTCCTGTGTAACAAGTATTAATGCTTATTCTGTGCTAGGCATTGTTCTGGACTCTGGTGATACAGTAATGAACAAAATAGACTCAGTTCCTAACTTATAAAGAACTTAGTTCTGAAGAAGGGAGTTGGATATTTAAAAATCGAAGCCACAAGTGACACCTGGGTGGCTCAGTCGGTTAAGCCGCTGCCTATGGCTTAGGTCATGATCCCAGGATCCTGGGATGGGGTACTGCATTGGGCTCCTTGCTCAGCAGGGAGCCCACTTCTCTCTCTGCCTCTGCCCGCCACTCTGCCTGCTTGTGCTCTCCTTCTCTGTCTCTCTGACAAATAAATAAATAAATAAAATTGTTAAAAAAGATTCAAGCCACAGATGAAGATTATGATGAGCATTTTGGTATGATGAGAGAAAAAAGGACACACACACAGACACACACATCTGTACATGGGCAGACCTGCCATACATATCTCAGTATACCGCAGACCGTCTATTCATAGAGCAGTAGATTTTCTGGAAATATTTTTGTTCTCACCTTTGACCTTCGAGGTAAGTTTTAGTAGACCAGGCTCAAAATACAGCAGACTCACTTATATTAGAAAATTGCACACATAGGAATTTTTTCTGGATGCTGAAGTTCATTACCTTGAAATTTTATGAATTCTATGTGGCTGAAAGTTCTGAGGATACTTGGTGAGTCTATAAAGAGGTATGAAAACTTACTTCACTGATTTTTAAAAAGTCTGTGTGCTAGATTTTTAAAAATCTCCTTCATGAGACAGGTGTATGTTTGTTTGCAAATTTTGGCTGAACCTGTCTTATTCTGTTTTCCAGAGAAACCACTAGAAGCAGAATCCTCAAGATGCACCGTATAGAGCTACTCTTGACATTTCTGGTGTTCATGTTTACAGGCACCTCAGGTAAGTAAGCGTCATCATTCACAAGCGTACTTAATGGGTAGTCTAGAGGGAATATCAAGGTTTCACTTCTGTATGTGGAGGTGGCTATTGAGGATGCTGAATTTATTAAAATTAGTGGTTTTAGATTTTACTGTGAAACTTGTCAACCCTTTGATGTCCCGGGCATAGAGAACAAAAGGTTCATAGGAATGAAATAAAGTAAAGAATCCTATGGGTTTAATGAAAAGGAAAAGATTTAGTTCTCTGAGTTTATGCAGAGAGAGCAGGATTGTATCTGGAAACAAATTACATCGGTCTGAGATGAAAATCTGCTTTATGTTATTTAAAACTGAAGAGTTCACAGCCATCTTTATTATTGACTTTTAGAAAGTTTTACACACATTCTTTTTCTTCCAACATGAAGGCCAAGATTCATCTCATTATTTAGGTAGTGAAGACAGTGAGTGGTAAATATTCCAGTTAGAAAGAGTACATAAGAAAGACTGCATAGACTGGGAAAAGCAAGTAGGATTTATATCAGGTGGCAGGTACAAGTTAAAACTGATTAGCAGTGATGGCTTGGAGACTTTTATCGAGAAGGATTCTGTGGGTTCATCAGGATTCTTTGGAGAAGAGATTCATGACTGATTAGCACGGTTCTCCTTATGCTTTGGAGGACCAGGTGGGAACACAAATACTGATTTGCCTTATTCTGTTATCTAGGAGGGGGTAACACATGAGCCCATATCCCCTACTTTGAGAATTATTGCTGAAGAGATAGGGAATTTAAGTTATTGACACTTTCAAATAATTCCAGTCCCAAATTTACTTAAGTGGGTCCATTTTTGTTGAGATCCAGATAATGCAATACTACCCAGATGTAAAGGGAAGGAGGTAGATGTGCTCCTCTTGATGCCAGATGACTAATCTGTTACAAACTGCAGAGTGAAAAAGCAAGAGGCAAGAAAGCGTGCACTGTGGGTACCTTGTTCCATAGACATGCACAAAAAACCTTGCTCCCAAGTTACGATGACACGTTTCAGGTACAAAAATAGTCACATAGCCCATTCTATAAGGCTACTAAGGTCCCAGCTCTTTGTCCTTTTAGGTGTCTGAAGAGCACCTTTCATAAAGGGTTGACTCTGGACAAATATGACAATATTCCACATGAGGATTGATTTAACCTATTAGAAGTTGAATGACAATATCCCATGTGTTGTCCAAACTCTAGACATTTCCAAATGCACCCATCCTTCCACAGGATCCAGGTTGTTGACCCTGTTGGATTCTTACTCTCTGTTCATGTAGGAATGGGAGGACCTGCTCTGGACAGTCCATACACTTTGAACTCCATTCATTTTTTTTTTCAACCAAAAACCATTTCTAATCTACAAAGCCTACAGTGTGAAGCTGAAGATTAGGTAGCAGAAGCTGTTAGCTGCTAGGGGAGCATGAACTTTCATCTCCAGCCATCTACCCCTGGAGAATCTAAAAGCCAGGTTAGGTTTCTGCAAATGATAGGTCCTCCCTCAAAGAAATGGTGAGTGTGTCTATCACAACACAAGCACAGGTGTTTATAGAAGTGTTTGAGTTTTTTTAAGTGTGACCAAAACCTAGAAATAACCCATATGTTCAACACCCATGGAATGGATAAATTGTCAAATATGAACACTACTGGATGTACTACCTATGAGGAAAGCACAAATCACTGCTTCATGCAGCAACATGGATGTCTATCGGAGACATGATGAGTACAGACTGTGGGATCTGTGTCCTTTGTTTTATGTATATCACATCCCTGAAACAGGAAAATAAATGAAATTGGTTTTGACTTGCCATCCTTTCGGATGTCAATTAAAACTAACACCAACACTTACACATGTATCACACCTTCTGTGTTGAAGTAGTGAAATGTAAGATGGAGTTTCTATAACAACCACCAAATTCAAGGTCGGTATACATTAACACTTGTACTTTGAGGTAAATTTGACATCCATGTTTTCAAAGAATGCTTGCTTCTACCATTTGAGCCATTTCCTCTTGACATTGTGGTTAACAACATTAAGTTAAAACCAGACCGTTGCTTTGAGAAATAGACCCTAACTGGAGAGGAGGCATTTTCTCCATGCCCTCAGAGAAATGTTCTACTTAATTTAAGGATTCTCATTCTCAAAATTCAGTTAAAGGGCACCGTGGGTGGGAAAGTAAATTGATGCAGCCACTGCAGAAAACTCTATGGAGGTTCCTCAAAAAATTACAAATAGACCATACGATTCAGTAATTTCACTTCTGCGTATTTATCCAAAGGAAACAAAAACACTAATTTGAAAAGATACATGCATCCCTATGTTGACTGCAGTGTTATTTACAATGGCCATCTATCCATTGATAGATGAATGGATGAAGACAGTTGTGGATATATATATATATACACACACAATAAAATATTACTCAACCACAAAAAAGAGTAAGATCTTGCCATTTGGGACAACATGGATGGACCTAAAGTGTATTATGTTAAGTGAAATAAGTCAGAAAGAGAAAGACAAATACCATATAATTTTGCTTATATGTGGAATCTAAAAAATAAATGAATAAACCAACAAGCAAATGCAGACTCTTTAAAATACAGAGAACCAATTGGTGGTTGCCAGAAGGGAGGCAGGGGAGAGTAAAATACATAAAGGAGATTAAGAAGTATATCTTCCAGTTATTATAATAAAATAAATAAATCATGGGGATGAAAATTATAGCATAGGCAGTATGGACAATAATTTTGTAATAACATTGTATGTGATAAAGGATGACGACATTGAATGATGGTTAACACCAAGTAATGTATAGAATTGTTGAATCAATATGTTGTATACCTGAAAATAATAACACTGGATGTTATTTATACTTGAATAAAATAAAAGGGCACGCTGGAGCCACTGGAGAACAGGATATGGAAAGGGTCCATGAGGGCTGACTTTGAACTATCAGAAGTTCAAAACAAGGGGAATGATGACTCTTAGCTGAAAGGATCAGATAACTTGCCAGAGTACCTGGGTTGATTGAGAAAGAGGGAGGGAGGAAGAGGGAAAGCTTGCAAGAGCACTCAAGGAGGGAATTAACAGATGCCTAGACTTGGAGTGATATTGTATTAATCACTTCTTGATGATTCATGTGGTAACTTGGAGAGATAATGGGCTCACACACACTCTGAGCTACACAGGAGCCCCTTAACCATCTCCTGGGCTACCCAGGGAATGGTCAGGTAAACTGATTGAAGGTACACTTCTGGTGAGCCAGGTGAGGAACTCTGAGGCCTCTAGATTTCTTGTTTTGATTTCCGTGCAGATGCCCCAGCTAGCGACATTTTGGGGGGGGGGGTGTGGCAACACTGTGACCTCTGTGGCTTTCCTTAGGAGGAAGCTGTCATGTGTAACATTTTCTTTGAAAAGCTTTCACTGCATTCATCTGTCTTCTCACTCTGGTAGGTTAGGTTTTGGTGATGCCCTGTTTGGAAAAAGTTGTTGGAAATTTTGTCTTCATTTATCCCTGAGAGTGTCCTAGTGTTGGAAAGATTGACCTGTCTCTTAGTGTTGGAAAGATTGACCCTAAAATGAGAACTCACAAGACTGAGACATTGGGGTTGCTCAGGACTTCCTTACTCACCTGGCTTATTTGGCTCATCCATTAGGAAAGAAAAACATTCACCTTTGTCATTCTCATTTTTTTTTCCCTTCTACTTTGCTAATCTTATGAAGAAACCTGTACTTTACGTTTTAACATCACCGCAGTCAGAGGGGAGCCTTTCTATCTGAAATATTGCTCATCAGCACCTGAGCCCAAGAATGAAACAGCCACCGTAAAATGGTACAAGAGTAGTGGATCCCACGGGCTCATTGAGCTAAACTCAAGCAGTTTTCCCAGAATTTCTCTGCACAATCATGTTTTGGAGTTTTGGCCAGTGGAACTGGAGGACAGTGGATCTTACTTTTTCCGTATGGGGTGAGTATAGCTTCTTTTTGTGTCAGCATTGTTCATCGCACTCTTGGACTTAGCTCAGCAAATCAGATATACAACAATCTGAGAGGATAATCCGTGCATTTACTCTCCCCTGCCCTTCCTACACCATGCAATAAATACTTTGTTATGGAAAAATCAAATTAAATATTTGCCCTTGTGTTTATCTGCTTAGTGATCTTAGTGAAAGAGGACCTTAATATTTCTTTTAGGGGATCCTAACCAAAGATAAGTGGGTGCCAAATGAAATTCATTTTAAAATTCAGCTGCTCCTATGGTGTAGAGTCGCTGGTCAGATGGGATCAGTGAAGACTCCTTAATGACCATGTGGTGAGGGGGGGCAATGTCAGCTTCCCAGGTGGTGTCCTCGGGCTCGCGCTCAGGGTCAGAAGGGGTGTAGACTCATCCCGAGCCAGTTTTCCAGGGTTTATTGGGTATCCGGTGGTAGTGTGAGTAAAGGATGTGTGAGCCTTACAGCCCATCACAGACCTATAGCCAGGGGTAGTGAGAAAGAAGAGCACAGAAAAGGCTTTGCATGACCTTCATGGGACAGACCCCTGTAGTCTATGCCAGGATGCTCATAATCAAGAGTCCAGGAGTCATCAGTTCTATGAAATTAGAAAAACCAACTGAATGTTTCAGTGACTATCACTGAATTAGGTTTTCTCTATACTTTCTTTGGTAGGCTGGGAAGGAGCAACTGGGACAAGCAATGTTCTGTTGATGGATTATTGGTCTTGATTATAGAGATCTGAGGCTGAGATCTGAGATCTGATCTGGTGGAAGAGAGCTCAGGGCCAACTGAGGGAGTGGTGGTGGTGTGCTCTTGGATGTAGTAGATTTCTGGGGTGGGTCCCGATCGTTATCAACAGTGGTGTTGAGAGCAGAGTGAGGCATCCTGGTGAAACCTTGTTATCACTTGTGTGGTTTTGCATAAAATGAGGTCATTTGGGTTTGTTTCTGTACATAGGAACTCCCAGGAGTCAGAAAGAAATTCAAGAACTCTTTTCCTATTGTTTGTTTTGAACTGTTATGAATTTTACGTGTTCCCTGAAGAGGGACGATTCTAGAAGTAGGTCACAGTTGGGTGTTTTTGCACTAAAGTAGAATGAATACTCACAAATGGGGTTAAAAAAAGATCTCTAAGCTTGATCGAATAAAGGCATGATTTAAATGGAAGAAGTACCCCGGACAGGGCAGGAAGAACACATTGAGGGGAAGAAGAGCCAGTTATCCACAGAGGATGCTTGGAGACAGATAGGGACAAAAGCCATTAACTGCCTCTCTGATAGGGAGGGTGAAGAACATAGCCTGGGTTAGGAAGGCAAAGTGGAAGCATCAACTAGAAACAGACTGTTGGAGAAGTGTGGAGATCTAGGAATATGATCTGACAGGGCAGGAAAAGCAAGGTGGCTCAGTGGTTGTGGTGATGAACTTTGAAAGGTGTTGGAGGCTGAGCAATAATGTGAGACTAAAGTGATGGAATGAGGAGAGCCCTGACAGTGGTTTTGAAAAATCAACGGGTGGGGGGCGGGGGGCGGCATGTGGGTGGCTGAGTCTGTTGAGCTGAGCATCTGCCTTTGGCTCCAGTCATGATCTTGGGGTCCTGGGATTGAGCCCCGCATCAGGCTCCCCGCAGCAGGGAGTCTGCTTCGCCCTCTCCCCTAGCTTGTGGTCACTCTCTCTCTTTTACTCATTCTCTCAAATAAATACATAAAGCTTTTAAAAAAAGAAATAAAAAGAGAAAATCAATGGGAACCTACACAGGTTGTTTTGGATGCATAGGGGCATTGAAGATGGGGATTTCTTTAAATTTGGAACACCTGTGTGTGTGTGCACATGTGTGCACGTGTGCACAGATTTAGATTGAGTAAGTCTTTCTAATTTCACATGGAATCTGTCTAAGACCAGATTCCAACCCTGGAATCCCTCCATTAGAACCATAATCCTTTTGTTTTTCGGGAATTTTCAGCTCATAATCAAAGGTCCCTGGAGACTGATAGGTGAATTGTGAAGTCAGATCAAATTTAAGGAGGAAATCCACCGAGAAGGGAGGGGATGCAGGAGAGAGGGGGGTTTTGATGCTTGAGGGAAGGGCATGAAGATAGAGAGAAAAGCACATGCAGAAGTCTCACAATCACATTCTAGATTGGCTTAGTAAGGGGCCTCCCAAGAATGCTAGAGCTTTACAAATCCCCTCTTGTGTGGCAGGAGTGGCTCCTGTGACCAGGAATGGATGGCCTTGTAAGGGAACAGGAATGGTCACAGCTTTGGGGCAGTTGGCCTCAGTGTCACACTGACCTTCAAGCTTCCTGAGCAAGGATGGTCGGTGTCCCCTTGTTTCCTCATTCCCAGTGCAGTGGCTGGGACATGGAGGCATTCTGCCAGTCAGTACTTACTGGGTGTTAGGAATTGGGGACTGCAGAGGTAGAGAACAATATGGCCCAATAAGTTGGAAATATGCATATACTCTCTTCCTTAGAAGCAACAGGACAGAAAGATTTAGAAATAAATCTCTGTCCAGCTCAGCAGGGCTGAAGTTGGGAAAACATTAGACACATTTGAGAAGAGGATGATGTCAATGGGATTCTGAATCCCTTCCAAGGGCCAGGTAGCTCTATTATATTCCATGGCCTTTGACCTACTGCCTTTAACCTTTAGGACAGCTTGTCAGTGCACTCGTCGCTTCCCGCCCAGCCATGACCACTCTTGAATGAATGCACACCCAAGGGAAGGGCCAGACCCACCTTGACTGTGAGAACATAGTATTGGGCAGTGCAGGCCTGGCCTTCAGCGCCAAACCGAATTGTGTTGCATCCTGACCTTGCTGCTGACTGGTGTGGGAACTTGGGCCAGGTACTCAGCTTTAAGTGAAGCTTAGCTTTCTTATTTCGCATAAGAGAAATCGTCATGCCCATTGCACATGCACAGTACAATGCCTGGAGCTCAGGGAGCACTAGTCTTCCTTCCATGCTCCTGTAGACCTAGAGGGGGACTGCAAGGGCCTGTGGTGGGTACAGAAGGCACAGAGGACAACTTAACACACGTCTGTTGTATTTAGTATGGGGATCTATATGTCATATATGTAGCTTCAACAAACATCAGGTTGCAAACATTTCCTTGTTTAGAAGCTCCTTTTTAAAAACTGTTAAAGTTATTTCATCTTCCAGATTACTAATTTCTAATCAGAAGGAACAACATCAATGAAATCTACTCAAACTAATGTTTGCTTAGTAGAATGCTAATATAGCTATGCAGTCACTCCAGACTTGGCTTTAATCAACAGTAAGAGAAGAGGATTGGAAGAAACCACCCAGAGAAATATAAAACCCAGTGCATTTATACAGACTTCCAGAAAACAAGTTCAGGAGTCTGTTTGTGGACCTCATCAACCCACTGCTACTGTCCCATTCTGAGTTGAGAATCTTTGGACTTGTCCATCTCCAAAGATCATTGAAGTTTTAGACATTTCTGTTCAGACACCCATAATATATGCTCTGCATAGGGTGAGTGTGTTTGTGTGTGTAGAACTGCTCAGGTTTTTCTCTTTCACTGCCCTTTAGCCTTGTCCCATGACAATTGTTAAATTTCTTGCTGCACTTAACCAAAATGGGACACAGCAGGGTCTGGGCATCAGTGAATGAGCCTCTTAATATGAAAATAAGGTGGGTGGATTGGTCACTAAAAGGTCGTATTTGCAAAGTCTCTGTACTAATCATAAAATATCTTTAAACCTTTATTTCATAGAAATAATACACGTGAATGGAAATTAAATGTCATTGGAAAAAGTAAACACAGATGTTTTGCTGAAAAACTACTAATTAGTAAATCTGTGGAAGTTCAGAAATATTTGCACGTCGAATGTATAAATATACACTATCAAAAACTGGCCAACAGAACATCACTGTATAAGGTAGCACTTTTAAAGTATTTTAACTTAAGGGGCAACTGGGTGGCTCAGTGGTTTAAGTGTATGACTCTTGATTCAGCTCAAGTCATGAGCTCAGGGTCATGAGATTGAGCCCAACATCAGGCTCTGGGCTCAACCGAGAGTCTTCTTGAGATTCTCCTCTCCCTTGGCCCCTCCCCACCACGGTCTCCCTCTCTCTCTCTCTTAAATAAATGAGTCTTTATTTTTTTTTTTTAAAGATTTTATTTATTTACTTGACAGAGATCACAAGTAGGCCGAGAGGCAGGCAGAGAGAGAGGAGGAAGCAGGCTCCCCGCTGAGCAGAGAGCCCGATGTGGGGCTCGATCCCAGGACCCTGGGATCATGACCTGAGCCGAAGGCAGAGGCTTTAACCCACTGAGCCACCCAGGCGCCCCAAATAAATGAGTCTTTAAAAAATATTTTAACTTGGGGTGCCTGGGTGGCTCAGTGGGTTAAGCCTCTGCCTTCGGGTCAGGTCATGATCTCAGGGTCCTGGGATCGAGTCTCACATTGGGCTCTCTGCTCAGCAGGGAGCCTGCTTCCCTCTCTCTCTCTGCCTGCCTCTCTGTCTACTTGTGATCTCTCTCTGTCAAGTAAATAAATAAAATCTTTAAAAAAGTATTTTAACTTAAGACTTGAGGAAAAAAAGACAAAAACCCAAAATGAGAATCTCCTGGCTGTGGACATCCTTGTGTTGTCACATACAAGCTACTTGACCCCTCGACAGCTCAGCCAGCCCACCTGAGCAAGGTGCTCCCAACAGGGTTGCTCAGATGAGCTCCTGCCCCATGTTATGTGTTCAGTAAATGGTAACAGCTTCCTCTTCCTTGCCCCTCCTTCATTTTCCTTCTCTTTTGATAAATTTCTAAGAATGCTAGCTTATGGATTTTCATTTTCTTCTGCCACATATATTTAAGATTTTAAATTCTATTGTATATGTACTTTTTTTCTAAACATATGAGTTCCTTTTATAAAAATGGAAGATGGAAAAATGCACAGTGAAGAGAGCAGAGCTCACTCAGAATTCCACCAGCCAGAGTCTTTGGGATGTGTGTGTTTGTATGTGTTTGTGTGTGTGTGTGTGTGTGTGTGTGTGTGTAAGAACATCTATTTTTTAAAAGTGGTAATTATAAAATATTTTAAAAAATAAAAATGGTATTTTTAATGGCTTATATTTTTCCTCTAGTCATTAAAAAGTATATGGTAATTATTCCCCTACGTCTTTAAACATCCTTCCAAACATGGGATTCTGTTGTTTCTTACACGTGTGTTTACCTATTCCCCTGGTATTGGACATTTGTTAGTTTCCTACTTTTCACTATTATTTACAAGGCTAAAATAAAATATCATTCTCATAAGTCTTAGGATGTATGTATGATTTTATTCTTCAATCTCATCCCTAAAGTAGAATTATCGGCTCAAAGGCTATGAGTACATTTATGGCTTTTGCTCCACATTATTAAACAACTCTCTGGAGAGCTATGCTAGTTCAAAACCCTCTTTTTCAACCACCACCACACACTGTGAAATCTGATATGCACAGTTTCTGTAATTTTTAGTAGTTTTTTCCCCATTTCTTTTCTTAATAATGAATTGAACATTTTTATATATTTATTACACCTTAGTATTACTTCTTTTGTGGATTATCTATTTTCTTCAGCTGGTGTACCTTTTACTTGAATTATAAGAGCTCTTTTAGACAATACTATGGAGATTATATATACATTCACAAATATATCATATATAAACTTATACACATATATAATTCATTTACATACATAACATACATACACGCAGACATCCAACACAAATTATATTATTTCTCTAGAAGAACAAACTGGACAAATGTAACTCTGTTACAGAAATTTTAAAGAATTCTATGGGAGAATGAGCCAGACAGAAGCCCTTCAGAGAGTTGAAGCTACAAATGATTTCCTAGAAAACTTTGTTTGCATATTTTGGTTCACTACTGTTTACTAGAGATTTTTGAAGGAGAGCTCTTCGCCAAACGTTTTCTAAATGTCTGAGTCAGTCCTGAGTTGACTTGACTCTATTTCCTATCAAAAGTGCAAATATTTGACAGTACATATGAATTTGTGAGTTTCAGTGTACTAGGTTTCAAGAAATCTCAACCTGTGGATATTTAAATTTAGAAAATAGAACTGTTGAGGATATTTCTAGCTAGATGATTAAACACAGGGCTCGGTATTCTCAGCCTATTTACAGATCATGGCCTGCCTGAGGGGAGGACAGCAAGGAAGCTAAATCAGAAAACAAATGATTGGAAATAAAAGTGAAGAGTCTTTGATATTTTAATGTGCCTTATTAAAAACCGTTTGGGGTCATAAAAGTTTGACATACACAGAAACAATTTACTGAAGTGAGAACACATGTGAATCCTTCACAAACCCATGCTAAGCACCCTCAGGGCCTAGCCCCAGTTGCTGCCAGCTTTGGTACCTTCAAGAGAGGTCTATGGGCAGTACATTCTCCTTGTTTGCTGTTTGCAGAAATGGTATAGCATAGTCAAGTTAGCAGTTTAGTTTCCATATTCCATATCTGGATCTTAGATCGCTTCGGAACCTCTTCTATGGGTGGCTGATGGCTAGATTGAAGAAGGTGGCTATTTTATCATTCCTTCTTGTGACCTGTATGGAAATTTATGATGGAGAGACATGTTTGTGTGTGCCTATGGATTCAAATATTCTTGATAAATTTCTAATCAGTCCACTGACTTCTGGTGGAAGACATCAAGGGGGTGGGTGGTCTTCTAGATACTCAGGTATGCATGTAATTCTGCTCCCACCCCTAGGACGGGTAGTCCTGAGTATATGGACTTAGACTAAAAGTGTTAGAAAATAGAGTTGTACAAAAGTTTACATATAAGCAGGGATTTTTTTGTTGTAATGCACGCGCACTCTTTCTCTCTCTCCTCCTTTACCTCCATCCTTCCTCCCGTCTCCCTCTCCCTTTCTCTTTACCCTTCCCACCCTTTGTGTGTAAAAAGAGAAATTAAAAGAAAATGACAGGAGCAGCTACAGCACCCCCCATATTCTGTTTCCCAGCATGTATTAATAACAATGATAATAACAGTAATGGGACTATGTATCATCGTTGCCACAGAAGCAATCCCAAAGCACTGGGACATTGACTCAGAAATTGCCAGCTTTCATTCTGTTTCCCCTTTTTAATAAAAACCTTTTAAAAATTTGAATCAATGTTATATGATACTGCTTTTACTTAAAATATTTTAACTTGCTTTTTCTTCTTCTTTTTTATAAAACAGAACTGTCAGGAGATAGAGAACAATAAAAACGCAGTTTTACAGAAGAATGCAGAGTTTGAAGATCAAGGATATTACACTTGTGTGTATTTCATTCCTCATAATGGAAAACTATTTCATGTCACCAAAACCTACAATATAACAGTAGTTGGAGGTAAGAGAAATTTGAGAATCAGAAAGAAACAAATGCATCTTTGTAAAACTGAGTTTTCTTTGTCATGTAGCACAGGAATCCAGAGGCAACTTACTTGGAGTTGTGACCACATCACTAGCTCAAATATAAGGGTCAAATCACTGGGGCATCATTTACTGCACTGGAAAGATTTTTTTTTTTGGCTTGGTAGGGTCGGTGGTAGTAAATGACCTTTATATATGTGAGCCTCCCATGAGCCAATGCTCTTATTTCATGGAGGAATTTGTGGAATCTCTTGTGGTTTAGGATACGCTTTCACCCAACAGATATTCATCAAAGTGTCTATATTCAATAAACTGTACTGAGCATCAAAGTAAAGGAGGCAGGGAAATAAGAAATGAAGAGGAATTTGATTATAGGCAGGGGAGTTGGTAAACCACGTAGGAGTGCCCTCACTTATGAAACCAGATTCATCTGTGAGGTGTTAAGGATTCAGAGAGAGTCAGAGGAAGATCAGAGTCAGGGGACTCTGAGCTGAGTTTAGAGGTTGACCATGACAGGTGGGCAGGAGGACCTGCTGAGGACAGTGTGCTCTGGGTTTTCAATGGTACACTTCAAGTTTTAGTGGATGGCATACCGTCTTAAAGATACCCTTTTATACCACCTCTCCCCCAGGGCTCCTACTGACATTCCTGTGGGGAAGGTGGGGACGGCAAAAGACAGATCTAGAAAAAGATAAGCAACAGCAATTTTCCATAAAGCCACCCCTTTGTCCTTGAGTCAACTCATGTCCATCAGTATTCTCAAGACTTGAGAGTTCCTTCTTTCTCTGGAGGCATCCAGGTCCTCCTGTCTCCCTGTCGGTATTCCATGCTTGCCCAGAGAGTCTGAATCCCAGAAGAATCAAACCTGACTTGCCTGGAGTTTCAACTTTGCGAGTTTCATCCTCCAGATTTACCCACACACTCACCAATCCGTTCTCTACCCTTCATTCTGTAGCACCACACTTCCTAACCAGGGTGCTGGTTTAGGAGAGCTCCCCAGTCTCCCATCACTCCTTGTGCACAGGCCTTGTGTTTGCTGAGCACCAGTAAGTCCCAGGAGTTTGCTGAGCACCAGTAATGACTGCTCTGTACATACTTGTAAATGCCCCAGAAGCACCAGCTGTACCAAAAGGTAGAGTCCAAGTCATGATGAAAGTTGCCAGTGCTGATCATTGGACTAACAAGAACTTGACAACACAGCAGGTTCAATGTGTGCTCTCAGTGTTCTACAGTTACGAGCTGCCCTCAGTTTTCTATGACAGCATTCAGAAGGAGGTTGAGGCAGACAGAATTGGGTTCCTCTAGTCAGGGTCAGAAGTCGTTCAGGAATAGAAGCAGAGCTGAGCCCAGAGGTGTGGACACCCCCACAGGGCCAGCCAGCACTGAGGCAAGGGAGGCATCCAGAACACAAAATTGACAGGGTGCTCTCCTGAGTGCCTGAGCAGGAAGGGTTGACACCTGAGAATGACTGCTTTGCCTACCTCAAGGAGTAGAGACCCTGTCCCCAGTACACCTGTCTGAGGAGTTGAGGGGGTGGGGGGCGACTGGAGGAATAAAGGCAGAGCAGAAAGGCAGTTCCCTGAGACTTGACATCTAAGTCCTGCAGGTGAGTTGTCCGTCAGGACGAACATCTTCCTCTGGCTTTTAGTTGCCGAAACCACAGATTTGAGTTGAGGGAAACCCAATTCAGGATGTTTTCTCCCATTACGTTAGCTTTGAGTTGATGGAAATGCAAATGACAAACACTGTTAGCCGCAACCATTAGTTACTGAAAATATGACCGAAGTGTAAAGTGATGACTATTAGAATCTTTGTTACATGGGGTAACATTATGTTCCTGCAAATACTTGTCTTAGAGGAGCAGAGTGCAATGCTGACACATTCCTCTTTTCTTCTTTCACTTTTAGATCGCAGCAAAATAACTCCTGTTCTTCTTGGACCAAAGCTGAACTATGTGAAGGTGGAATTAGGTATATTTTGACATACGTATAGTTTGCATTTCAGAATGGGGGTATCACTGAGTCTTCCAAGGCTAAATCTGACTCATGATCAATCCAATTGCATGTGCCTCACGCATGCCAGGTTTAGTGAAGAACATTACAAAGGGAAGAAAAGCCTGTCATTGTTTGAATGTTGCCATTTTTTGGCTGATGAAAATGAACAGTCTGTTGAAAACATGATAGAACCATTTGTGGTTTTTAGATAGGGTTTTGGTCGCCCTGCGGTGGCTTTTCTCTAATAGTCTTTACGATCACTTTTAAATATGAAACTGTGAGAGAACGCTTTGGAGGAATGATTCAGACTTGTTCTGTGGTCTGAACATTTGGTTGATGAATCAATGGGCTTTGAATCATTGGACTTAGTTGACTGTACATTTAAGATTTGTCTAGACAGGGCTTAATGAAATCAATGTGTCCAGGTGCGTAATTCCTTTCCAAAAAGGAAAGAAGGAAGGTAAAGAAGAAATTCCCATATGCTAAACCATGTTTTGTATAAGATGATTGAAATATATTCTTGAATTACATCCTCCAAACAACTCCAAGTGGTATTATTCCCATCTGGTGGATTAAATGACCAAAGCCCAGAAGGGTTCAGTAATTTATCTAAAGTTAAACTAGTAAAAAGTGGCAAAGCTGGGATTCAAGTTGCTGTTGACTATTTCCTAAGCTCACATCTTAGGACCAACATCTGCCACAATTGTTTGTGGGACTGGATCTGCCCAGCGTCGCTTGGATAGTTTGCCATTTGCAACTGTGGTTTGCCTGCTTTTTATTGATTTCCAAACTTAGCTCTATTATTTCTTTCTTCTCGTTTTGGGCTTAATTTGCACCTCATTTTTGGAGACAGAATTAGATTCAGTTATTCTCTCTTGTAGCACATGCATTTTAAGCTCCAAAGTTCCCTCTAATCACGACTTGAGCTGTTTCCAAGAAATACACGTATGCCGTATTTTCATTACTATTTGGTTCAAACATTAAAAAAAAAAAAACTTCCCTTGTGATTTCTTCTTTATTCTATTGATTATTTGTAGTTCTTACTTTCCAGATCTTTGGAGGATTTTCTCGTTGTTTTGTTGTTGTGGCTGATATTGATATCGATATCCAGTTAAGTTCCATTCTGGTCCAAGATTAGACACTGTATCATTTCAGTCCTATGAAGTTTGTAGTAACTTGCTTCAGGACCAGAATGTGGTGGGTCTTGATGAATGTTCCAAATACATGTAAAACAAATAGGCATTCTGCATGTTTTGGTTTTATCATTCCGTAAATATCACTTATGTGAAGTTAGCCAATGGTATTGTTCAGATCATCTCTCTCTATTTTTTTAAAGATTTTATTTATTTATTTATTTATTTATTTGACAGACAGAGATCACAAGTAGGCAGAGAGGCAGGCGGCGGTGGGCGGGGGGGAAGCAGGCTTTCTGCTGAGCTGAGAGCCCGATGGGGGGCTCGATCCCAGGACCCTGGGATCATGACCTGAGCCGAAGGCAGAGGCTTTAACCCACTAAGCCACCCAAGCGCCCCTAGATCATCTATATTTTAACCAAGTTTTGTGTGTTTTCTTTATCTGTTACCAAGAGATGTTAACATCTCCAACTACGATGGTCAATTTATCTCTGTATCCTTTAGTTCCATCAATTGTTTCTTTGTATATGCTGAGGTTACCTTATGGGCACATGCAAATTGATGCGTGTTGAACTGATACTTCATCGTTATCAAATTTCTCTCTTCATCTATCATGCTTCTTTCCTGAGTGCCTACTTCTCGGATAATAGACATATCAGTTTTCTTTTGTTTGAGGTTGGCAGGCTCTCTCTTTTTTACATCCTTTTGTTTTAACATTTCTTTGTAAATCAAATGCACATTAAATGTGTTTCACATAAACAGCATATCATTGGATCTTTTTTTGAAACCCAGTCTGTATAATGTGTCATCTATTTACATTTAATGAACTACCCATGGAGGTGGTGTGCAACCTCTCCTCTTGCTACCTGTGTTTTAGTTAGCTTATATATCCTTCCTTCCTGCTGTTCCTCCCTTCCTTTTGGATTCATAAAGTATTTTTCTTTCCTTTATTTATCTGCTTTGTTTTCTTTTTAGTTATACTTTATTATCCTTCCTCAGTAGGTCTAGAGATTACAATGTGTATCCTTGTCTGACTGCAACAGACAGACGTAATCTCAGCATATTTATAACTTCACAGCATGCGAGGACCTTGCAAATGGTTCATTGCATTTGTTCCTCCTATCTCCCGTTATGCTGTTACATATTTCTCTCCAGCATATGTGCTAAAACTCATAATAGATCAGCATTAATAGTGCTTTAAGTAATCCTCAGTCTTTTATATTTATGCAAATATTTGTATTTCCTTTTGACCTCATTTGTTCCTGTAGTTCCTTGCTTTCCTCTGGGATAATTTTTCAGGAGTCTGAGAACTTCCTTTGGGATTTCTCCAAATGTGGTTATGTGGGGGTGGGGGAGGGGCGTGGGACCTCAGTCCTGTGTTTCTTGTACATCACTTCCTCCATGGGGAACTTTCTCTTCTAAGTCTTATGAGACTGCAGGAGAAACCGTTCAGCCTTTGCAGCCTCCCCAGCAGGCATCCTACAAGCCCATGTGACTGTTAGAATTTCCACTAGGCTCTCTTTTCTCTATGAGATTCCCTCCACACTGTACAAACCAAAACAAATTTCTCCCAAGAATAAGATGGCTGGCTATCTCAGCTCCCCGCAGAAGGGCTTTTTCCTGACTGCGTTTCCAGCTGTTCTATTTCTCTTTGTTTTCTCTGCACGTGGAGGTCTTTAATTTTTAGCTAATTTCATTTTTTTTTTTACATGTGATTTATCCATTTTGTTTTTCTAGAAATTGCCATGGGAGTGTTGGTCTGACACTCCCTCCTAAATTGTATGTTGAAAAGAAAGTCCACTGGCTACTCTCATTTTTAATAATTGACTTAAACATAAACATTTGAAAAGAAACCAATTCATATTTTGGTGGTGACTTATAATTGCTACTAATTTCTCTGCTTTATAAATTTTTTAAAAATTTATTTTTTATTTTTTTCAGTGTTCCAGGGTTCATTTTTTATGCACCACACCCAGTGCTCCATGCAATACGTGCCCTCCATAATACCCACCACCAGGATCACCCAACCCCCCACCCCCGCCCCTCCAAAGCCCTCAGTTTGTTTCTCAGAGTCCACAGTCTTTCATGGTTCATTTCCTCCTCCAATTTCCCCCAGTTCACTTCTCCTTTCCAACTCCCAATGTCCTTCATGTTATTCCTTATGCTCCACAAGTAAGTGAAACCATGTGATAATTGACTCTGCTTGACTTATTTCACTCAGCATAATCTCCTCCAGTCCCACACATGTTGATACAGAAGTTGGGTTTTCATCCTTTCTGATGGAGGCATAATATTCCATTGTATATATGGGCCACATCTTTATCCATTCATCTGTTGAAGGTCATCTTGGCTCTTTCCACACTTTGATGACGCTGGCCATTGCTGCTATGAACATTGGGGTACAGATGGCCTTTCTTTTCACTACATCTGTATCATTTTTTAAAATTTAAAAACAAGGCATAGCTGTTCTGTTTCTGGAATGTAGCACTGTATTAGCTTTATATATTAAGTTAACATATATTGATTATATTCATTTTAAACCTTTGGGAAATCTGAGTTTCTAAGATCAGAACATTGGTTGTCAACTTTCACATAGGAAAAGACGTAGAACTCAACTGCTCTGCTTTGGCAAATGAAAAGGATGCTTTTTATTGGAATGTGTGGGAAGAAAATGGAAAGGAACCTAATGTACATGAAGAGAACATAACAAGAATTAGGTATGTATATGTGACGTATTATTTATCACTACATATACAAATCACATTGTGTTGTAGATACATGATATAAAAACATCAGCATGCTGGGCATCTGGGCTCTTTCCATAGTTTGGCTATTGTGGACATTGCTGCATAAACATTGGGGTGCAGGTGCCCCTTTGAATCAGTATGTTTGAACCCTTTGGGCAAATACCTGTAGTGCAATTGCAAAGGCAAAAAGCAAACACAAAACCCAGAATACTGAATGGCTGATTGGATATTTTAGGTATGTTTACATTTTAATAATAATTTACATATTTTATACTTTCAGCATGCTCTAGGTTGATGGATTATGTAGAAATCTAATGCCAAGATCTAAGCTAGAAAAAGAAGTTCGGTGAGGCTGTTTCACATCAGCTTACAAAAGTAGCTTTTGGTCGGTCAGGATATGTTGGGGATGGGAATTTTACTTAAGCATCTGATAAAGTTAGTAATCATATAAGAGACTCCAAACTTGTCAGATGTAAGTTTTGTCTCAAGGAAACGCTAATGTCCCCATCACCTACACTGTGGCATTCATTGTTGGCAGATTGACATCGAACATAGTTATTACTGTAACATTTTGCTGTCAAGAGTCCATTAACGGAAATTAGAAACACAATAAGAACAGGTAAAAGAAATTAAAAAAATAAATGAAGAGGGCATTGTTAGATATAAATATCTAGGAGGTAGCTTTGGTTCAAACAGTTTCAAATTGTTGTGTATTAGTACTTCCATTGCCTATGTTCTTCCAGGAAGGAATGGTCACTCTTATTAAAACAAAACATGCTCAGCCTGTGGTCATTTAAGTGTTTCTGAATGACTTCGGGTCATTACTCTACTTAATAATGTATTGATAAACTCAGGTTTTAGTGAGTAGTGATCCCAAGGTGTCTGTCACCTTGGCTGCAATCTTGAGTTTTTTTTTTCCTGCCTTTTACACTTCAGAATTTTCTTTGTCATCATGCCGGCAGCTCTCAATTCTTGCTGACACTTGTCGGTGAGTTCCTAACAGTGTCAGGTGTGTGGCCTCGCCCGACAGCAGACGTGTAAACATCGGTCCCGCTGAACAGCATGGACGCCTTGCCATTGTGTCTTCTCCTCAGCATCGGACCCTCACTGGAGTTCTGTGATCCCCCTTCTAGTGATCTATCGCTAATCTTTGGAGGGATAGAAGACCAACTCACCGAACTATTTGAAATGGAGCTTAAGCTAAGCTAGGGGAGCCAGGTAGTCTTTCTTTAGAGTTAGGTGATGAGCTTTATTCTGCCTTTTGTGCCTTACTTTCGGGGTCTTGCACTGATGTTAGATAGTTGATATTCCTGGATTGGTGACTTCTGCACAGAAGTATGTTCTAACCTGTGTTTGAGACCGTTGAAGGCTAAGGTGGGTTCCGTGTCCCGTGTACTGGAAACACCTGCTGCTAGGGGGGTGGCAGGTGAGTGAGCCACCCGGGGGAGGGCTTTCCCAAGTTGTCACTGGCAGGGAAGCAGATATCATGAGCTGTTACCTCGTATCAACGACAGCACAACGTGGATCTTTTGAGAAGAGAAAGACAACTTTCTGCTGGTGTTTGTCTGAGTCATTTTCTGACACCTCCTGAACAGCTTTATTGGTATTTCTCACATGCCTGTGGGTGCATCTGAGAATAGTTTCATTCTTTTTTAATTTTTTTTAAGATTTATTTATTTGAGAGAGAGAGAGAGCAGCCGAAGGGCAGACGAAAAGGGAAGGAATCTCAAGCAGGCTCCACACTGAGCTCAGAGCCCGACACAAGGCTCTATCCCAGGACCCTGAGATCATGACCTGAGCCGAAATCAAGAGGCAGACACTTAACTGACTGAGCCACCCAGGTGCCCCAAATAGTGTCATTCTTAAGTTTATTTTCAATGCTGAACAAAACAAAAGTGATCTTTAGGATCGCATGGAGAAATTTGATAGGAATCTGTATTTATGCCAAACCATTTGCCGCCTTGTCACAATCCATGGAGACCTCCCTGTGGGAGGAACGCTAAGTGGTTAGGAGAAGAGAAGGAGGGGAAATAGTTGAGACACTATTTTCTTGTGTTTTCAACTCAGCATCATTACCTTCTAGCATATTCATTCTGGACAGTGCATGGTGTCGTTCCCTAGGTGATTCAGGAGGGCTGTTTCTGTCTGCCCTGACACTCTCCGGAGGAGTCAAGGTTCATGGTTGCCCACACCCTGAGTCCCCTTCAGAAAAGGAAGGTTCCATGGAGCCAACAGATCTACTGCTTTTGAGTATTTTCACATGAGAACTCCACTCTCATGGGTAATGTTGCTGGCAATGACCAAAGCCTATCACAGAATTATTTCCTCTTTTACAGGACTCCAGATGGCAAATTGTATGCATCAAGAATATTGAGAATTGAGAATATTAATGAAAAAAATCTAAACTTTTCATATAATTGTTCTGTGGCCAGCGAGGGAGGCACAGACATTATAAGCTTTGTCTTGTTGAAAAAAGGTATGGGAAAGTTTTGTCGTGGAAGCTTGTGGAAGCTTGGAATATTGCGGCTGAGAGACCCCTTGAAGATCACCACTCTCTCCTTTTACACCCCAGGAAGCAAGCTCCCAAGAGATGAAATGGTCTACCTTGTGTCACAGGCATTTAGGCTAACCTGGGGCTCAGTCCCCTGCTGGAGTCCCCTGTGCATTGATTTTGTGCAGAGAATGAAAACACTATTCTTTTGCCCTCAATCATATTGCAGACCCAGGTAGAAACCAGAGGCCTGAACAGGGAAGCAGACGCAGACTGGAGGCAGAGATGTGTGGCTGGTGTGAAGGAGAGGCAGGGGGCAGCTCTGGCATGCCTACGACAATGGGAGGCAAGCTTGCAGCTCAGCATAGGGTGAGGCCAATGATAATGATTGTACTATTGCCTCCAGCCTACCTTAGCTGGGCACAGGGCACAGGGCACAGGGCACAGGGGACCCTTGGGTGTGGTCATTCATTCAACAAAGATTGACCTTGAACCAGTCTCAGGACCTGGCAGGTGGACAATTGTTAGGTTGCATCAGTGGACTCCTAAAATTTTGCACTGCCTGACTGATGGAGCATTCCAGAGCCGTCCCCCTCTGTCCTCTACCAATACAGTACAACCCAGGGCCATTGGCCCAGTAGCTGCTCGGAAGTGGCTTCATACTATGGCGAAGACACTAAGAGTTAAGGACATCAGTGACTTTCCCTAGGACACAGACTAAGTGATAGAGCCAGGTGGGGAGCCCAGATGACCTCAGTTCAGCACCCGCTCTCTCAAAACTATGCAGTTCCATTTATGTTTGCAATATACTAGCTAAGACGTTGGTTTGGGTCCCTCTGCATTTCACCCTGGTATCTTACCATCCTAGAGACTCACCTTCCCCAAGTGGGGATAGGCTATATTACAATGATTTCAGTTCAGGTCTCTGAATGTCCTTGTACACACTTTTGTTCTTCAAAAAACTGGAGTGGAACGATTAGTACTCTGGACCAAAGGCTGGCATGTGGATGAAGTCGATGGGATGTATCAGAAAGACACCTGGATTCATGTTCAGTGTAAAAACTGACAACTGTGGTATGATGTTGGAGGACACTGGTAAACTGTCTTTCACTAGTTATTCCTGTTTGCTTTTTCTTTCTAGAAGATATGGTTGACATCCCAGGCTACGTCTTCACCAGAGGAATGATCATAGCTGTTCTGATCTCAGTGGTGGTTGTGTGCCTAGTAATAATGGGCATCATTTATAGAGTTGACCTGGCCCTATTTTATAGAAATTTCATGGGAAAAGATGAAACATTAACAGGTAACAGATATCGTAATACTGGGATTTCTTGTCTTATGGCTTCATTAAGAAACCGAATAAAGAAACATTAATCTTCCTTTCATTTTGATTATATTGTTGTCTTACTGTGTGGGAGAGGTTTTCCACAGGAAAGACTGGTTTGAACAGATCATCCATCATGAACGTTGTCTCGTATCTTTTTTTTTGTGCTTACGTGTATGTTGCCAAAAATTATTTGCCAAGCAATTGTTAATTGTTTGATATATGTATGTCATGTCCTCCTAAATGCCCTGTGAGATGCTTGTGCCTAGGGACTGTCATTATTCGCACATGATCTGGACACCTTATATAATGTGCACATTCAATAAACCTCATTAAATAGAATTGAATTGTATTGTAGTTCATTATTTTAACCTGACAAAGGAGGTAGCCTTATGTATCTATAAGAACCCTGAACTAGAAGCCAAATGACCTGGGTTCTAGCTTCCTAGATCTGTGTTTTTCTCTATGGCTGTTTCTATCTGAGGACTCTATTTTCCAATCTGATTTCTCTATTTTTAAAGGTAATTTGAAGAAGTCCTCAAGTTATAAGATAATTACTGAATTGTGTCAACTATACTTAAGTAAAAAAAGATAATTCCTGAATTGAAACAAATCAGTCTAATCCATTGCACTTGCTGCGTGTGTGTGTGTGTGTGTAGGACACAGTTCAAAACACAGAAAGTCTAAGAGTAGAAAATCACCTGTTAGCCTTTCCCATGTCTCTGTTTCTCACATCATCTGTCACTGATAGTACATATATCTAAATAAATATGCATATGGGATCAAATTCCACTCCTGTGCTAAAAACAAATCCTGGCCAATCATGTACACTCTTCTGAACTTCTTTGTTTTGCTATGCCTTGGTTGCCCTTCCATAACAGTTCATAAAGCCTCCTGTTAGAGTCTTACAGTGTTTTATATCTGAAGATGTATCCCTGTTTGTTTGGTCACCTTTTGAGTTATTCACAACCTTTTGTTATTACAGAAGTGATGTGACAGAGAGTTCTGTAGAGTCTCGTTTCATCTGTGTGCAGTGTAACTGAAGGAAAAACTTCCCAAAGTGGAATTGCTGGCGATATTGAAGGGTAGATACAGTTGTTCATTGGATAGGCATAGCCAATTTGACCTCCCTTCTATTGTACTCCTACCACCTTCAAAGAATGGGGGTTACTTTTTCTGCATGGCCTTACCCACAACCTTTTGGCTATGTGCCAATCTGATAGGTAAAGTTATATCTCAGTGTAGTTTTCATTTGTATTTCACTTACTATGCAAGAGTGTAATTTTTCATTTTTTTAAGGCTCATTTGTATTTACATTCTCAAAGTACTCATTCATATCCTTTGCCACTTTTCTATTGTTTTTTTTCTCTTGTTTATTTCTAAGAGCTATTTATATTTTAAGGAGTTTAACTAACTATTATCTACACTATGAAGGTAGTAGAAAGTATAGACAAAAAACTTGGCCTTTTTTCCCTCTTGTTTACTTCTAAGAGCTATTTATGCTTTAAAGAGGTTAACTATTGTCTATACTATGAAATGAAAATATTGTTCTCAGATTGTAATTTGTCTTTTGATTTTGCTTATATTAGTGTAATATGTGGAAGATTTTTTTATTATTCTTAAAGTATAATTGACACAGTGTTATATTAGTTTCAGGTACACATTTTTATCATTATGGAAGATTTTTTTAATGTACTCAAGTTTATCCTTTTATGGTTTCTAGATTTGTGGTCACAAGTAGAAAGATCTTGACCACAAGTTACAAAAGAAGTCTCATGTGTTCCTGTGGGATTTTTCTAGATTCATGATTCACATTTACAGCTTTTAGTTAATAATATCAAATTAACAATGCCCATTAATTAAGCTTTGAGCTTAATTATGTGTATGCAATTTTGGGGATGGAGAGAAACACTATAACTGAGAGGTCTATTTTTGGTACCTTTTTGAACAGGTTTCTACTTGCATGGACCTGAACATATCTCAAAATGGGCATTCACTAATACCTTTCTGATCTTCAACGAAGATTTTTTTTTTCCCCTCTCTGTTGTGTTTGACCCAATTCACAGATAATTTTTTTCAGTTCATACTTCCTGCTTCCCAGCATGGCAGTGCATAGAAACATTTACAGATGGGCTCTACATCAGCTCTATTTCAAGTGTGACCTGTGACAGTGATAAGTTGTGAAAAAGCCAGAAATAGAGACATAAGTACAAAAACTAAAACTTTCATAGCAATTTGATATTGCTGCAATATCCAAGAATGTTTTCAGTATTAGTTTTTGAAGGACTGGAAATGAAAGAAACTGAACAACCCAAATCAGTCAAACTCAATGAAAGCATGGTCATTCGCCCAACACAGTTTGAGAAGCACTAGCCTGACTCCTTAAAGCCCCAAATATACATTGACATGAGGGTTTTGTTTATACAGAACCCAAAATAATTACTATTAGTTTGTAAATACCTTATCTTAAACACTTTACTTTGTCAGTTATCAAAGCCAGCAAGTCATTCAGTTATGTGGGTTTAAAATAAATTGTAATATATATTACAAGATTTGCTAAACCAAAAAGAGAATTGCTTGAAATTGGGCATTTCAAAGCAATCAATAGTTGAAAAACCATTTTTCATCTTTCATGGGTAAGAATAAAGCTGTACTCCAACCCCTGTACCATCTAATCAATTATCATGGGACAGGGGTAGACCATTCCCCTCCCACTTCCCCTTCTTCCTCTACCAATCCCAGTTAGCATCAATTGCGTCATTTAGGACCTGACTCAAAATTTCCTTTTCTCAGGAAGCAGGGCCCCTAGAGATCACTTTTTAGTCTCTGACCACATTGATTCTGTTTGTTTTGCCTGTTTTGTTACACTGCCTCGCACTGCTAATGTGTTATTTGTAAACTTTTACAAGTTGTTGCATTTGCTTGCTTTGTCTTCTGAGATAGGTTGGATGAAGGTAGAAGAAGGACATGTATATAATTTTGCAGTTTCCCAGTTAGTATGGTGGTCTTTGTTATTTAGGTAACACTTTCATCTTGACTTTGTCCCATTAGCCTTCTGAGCATTGCTTTATGATTATCAGGAATTTAATAGGAGCCAATGTTATTATCTATGAAAATCTTTCAATAGACCAGAAATTTTCATATTGGCATCTAGGACCATATTTACTTTTAAATATCACAGCACGTGTTGTGATAGCCCAGTGTTTAAATCACCTCTATTGTTTCTTCCTGCTTGCCAGTGTAAACGCTCTGCTTTGTTTCTGTCTTCATTTTCCAGTTGGTCATTTTGAGTATAGACATATTAAGATGCTGGTAGGATTAGGTAATAAGCTAAGGTGAGATTTGCTTTCCATTCCTGGAACAAGGACATAGCAGGGCTCCTTGGCCTTTTGTTGCCTTTAAATTACTTTAATTCCTGGATTTATATCTTGTATTTCTCTCCATCACTCTATGGTGTCATACAGTGAGAATCTTAATCTACATGCTTAAAAAACAATTTGCTAATTGGTTGCTTGATTAGCATTTGAGGTTCATGGAGGCTATTTTTTTGTGTGTCTTTAATAATAATTGAATTTATTTCTTGTTTTTTGACAACTTAAAAAATCAGAGAGAGCGAATAACGCCTAAGAAGAATCATAGAACCAAAAAATATTTGATGAATTTTATGAGTTACCTTGTTTAAACATGTTTGTTTTGTTTTTTAATTGGTTTTCTGGCAAAAAAAATTTTTTTTCTGTATCCTTTTTTTGAATGGCTTCATTGAGCTCTAACTGATGTACAAGGAACTGCACATATTTAATGGGTACAATTTAACGAGTTTGGACATGAGGATACTCTGTTTAGTCTTTTTCCTTTACGATGGTTCCTCTCCCATTTTTCACAACTTTCACTCAAATTTTATTTGCACTGTAATTAAAAGAGTAAACCTTATTTCCTAGATGGAAAAACATACGATGCTTTTGTGTCTTACCTGAAAGAATGTGGACCCGAGAATGGAGAGGAGCACACCTTTGCTGTGGAGATTCTGCCCCAGGTGTTGGAGAAACACTTTGGGTATAAATTATGCATATTTGAAAGGGATGTGGTACCTGGAGGAGGTAAGAAAGTAATACCAGATAGAAAACCAGTGGGAAGATTTTCTTTTTAAAAGCTGAATAGTGTAGCCTTATGAAAGGCAATCCTGTTTTGCTTAAAAACAAAGGAATAAACACGATCCTGTAAATCAGAAATAATCAGCTAAATCAATATAATATTTTATACAACAGGATTGGTTCCTGACTTAACACGTGACCCTCTGGACTATAAACATCATTCATTCTTACCAGAAAATACTCGTTCTTTATTGGGTTGGCACTGGTGTGAAAATTATAGTAGCAGATAGGAGAGTTGGAAAAGGATAAATAAAGGGCGATTGGTGATTCATGTCAGATTTTAGTTATGCAGTTCAGTTTTTTTATTAGTATCTGAATACAGATGACCATAAAACACATATTGAAGCAAATTCCAGTTCGAAACCAAGAAATTAAGTAACAATGTCTGTATATTCTCTGAGGTCTTCCAGAGCAAGTATTTGAAATCTGGTGTCAGAATACTTTGGGTGCTGATGCATTACCAAGGATACAATATAAGTATTTCTATTGCCACCATCACTCAGTCAGCCAACGTATACTCATGGCAGATTCTGAGCTGGGCATTGAAGACATGGCAGTAAATAAGACACAGCTGTGTTTTTCCCCTTCCTAGATTACAACTGAGAAGGGGAAAATACTACCAATTAGAAGGAGAAAACATACTATTTTTTTTAAGATTTTATTTATTTATTTGACAGACAGAGATCACAAGTGGGCAGAGAGAGGGGGAAGCAGGCTCCCTGCTGAGCAGAGAGCCCGATTTGGGGCTCCATCCTAGGACCCTGGGATCATGACCTGAGCCAAAGGTAGAGGCTTTAACCCACTGAGCCACCCAGGTGCCCCTACTTTTTAATAAATAGATAGATAGATAGATAGATAGATACATAAAATAGGTTTGTTCTTAGTTTTCAAATGAAAATAAAGACTGTATGTATATTTAATTATAAAGAGCTTGGGTCAAAACCTCTATTGGAGAAGGGGTAGAGATCTAGCCCAGAAGTTGACAGTCGATCACACATGGGTGAAATCCAGGCTATCAGCCTTGTTAAAACCCAGCAAAGAGCTGTTCGTGTGTGGTCTGCCAGCTGCCTTTGAGCTAAACAGCAGAGATGGGTAATATAAAACCAGAAATAGTCACTCTCTGGCCCTTTACAGAAAGTTTGTCAACTTCTGGTCCAGAATCGTGGTGGGATATATATATTTTTATCTTTGAATTCAGATTTCGGGGTGTTCCTCCCTGCCTGCAGAGAGGTGAGATAGCATCACAGGACTCCAGAAGCAGACCGCCTAGGTCCTGACTCTGACTCTAGAATTGGCTGACTATCGGATTCTGGTCTAGTTGCTTAACCATTCTGTACTTCGGCTTTTTCATTGGTAAAATGGTGGTGATGACACTGTCTTTGTAGGGTCATTGTGATGCTGTAATGAGTTGATATACATAAAACATCTAGAAGAGGTTTTGGCACAGAGTAGCCGCCAAGTGTTCATTATTGCTGTTACCTGGTTGATTGTTTTTAACAGTGTGTAAAAGTTGAGAATAAGTGGTTTGTCTTGAAAAACTTATTAGGGAAGTAGAGTTAAATAATACAAAATCAGACCTTCATCTCCTGTCTGCCTTTTTAGTTCTCTTTAATTACTATGCCACATCTTGCATTTTTAGCTGTTGTTGACGAAATCCACTCATTGATAGAAAAAAGTCGAAGACTGATCATTGTCCTAAGTAAAAGCTACATGTCTAATGAAGTCAGGTACGAACTTGAAAGCGGACTCCATGAAGCACTGGTAGAGAAGAAAATTAAAGTCATCTTAATTGAGTTTACACCTGTGAGAGATTTCATGTTCTTCCCCCAGTCACTACAGCTTTTGAAATCCCACCAAGTTCTGAAGTGGAATGCTGATAAACCTCCATCGTATAACTCAAGGTTCTGGAAAAATCTTCTTTATCTGATGCCTGCAAAAACAGTCAAGCCCTGTGGAGCTGAATCTGAAGTCCTACCTGTTCTTTCACGGTCCTGAGCTTTAGGAAAGCTGAACATAAGAAAGAATTGTTGATGCTCTGGGCCCGGAGTGGATGGGCCTGTTTTTAACAAAGGCACTGTTAAAAATATTTACCTCTCTGAAAATCCTTCTTACGGTTCGAAGATGACAGTCGTCATTAGGTTGCCAGGGATAAGACTGAACAATGAGCTGCGCTCATGTGCTCCTGGAGGAACCTGGAATTCCAAAGCAATGCATCTCCTCTTTCTCCCTCCTTGATAATTGGCTATAGGTGTTCATTCTCAATTCATGTTCAGCAACTGTGAGGCAGGGCATGAAGCAGAATACCTTACTTAGGCCCTTATAAAAAGGGCCTGTCTCTATGTTTTGTTTTGTTTTGTTTTTATTTCTTTTCAGCGTAACAGTATTCATTGTTTTTGCACCACACCCAGTGCTCCATGCAATCTGTGCCCTCTCTAATACCCACCACCTGGTTCCCCCAACCTCCCACACCCCGACCCTTCAAAATCCTCAGATTGTTTTTCAGAGTCCATAGTGTCTCATGGTTCACCTTCCCTTCCAATTTCCCCCAACTTCCTTCTCCTCTCCATCTCCCCTTGTCCTCCATGCTATTTATTATGCTCCACAAATAAGTGAAACCATATGATAATTGACTCTCTCTGCTTGACTTATTTCACTCAGCATAATCTCTTCCAGTCCTGTCTCTATGTTTTTAATGCTAACGCTTGAATTAAAGGATTGTAAGCATTTTCTAGGATCCGGTAGGTGACATAATAGCAGGAATGTTGCCTTTACTCTCCCACAGTGCAGCCTATAGCTAAGCACCAGGGATAGTGCCTGAGACATGGCAGAGAGCTGGTGGGGCTGTATGCACCGGGGACCCAGGTGTGACAGGGCCTTAGCCTCAGGACATGTTTAATGTGTCCTGGCCACAGCTGCAGACCCACTGTTTTCAGAACCCCCTGAAGCACTGCTCAGGGCTTGCTTATTTGGGCCTGTTTGGAGGGAACTTCCCCAAACTGTTTTATCTTTCATGAGAGGCACACATCTGAGTTAATATAATTCTCTGGGTTTTTCAAAAATGGTCTAAAACATTTGTTGATTTAACAAGAATGTTTATAGTCCCGATGTCAGATCATCTCTTCTGTATTAGCCAGTAGTCAATATTATACATTAGCCACAGCAAGATAGGATAGTTACTGGCTTGATTTGTTAAAAACAAACAAACAAACAAACAAACAAAAAAAAACCCTTTCAGGTGGAGGCACCATGGCATGGGGTTGAGCACGAGCCATGCAGTCAAGACACTTGAGCTCGAATCCTGGGCTTGCTACTCACTTTGGGGACCCCTGGAGCCTTTTGAACCAATCTGCTCCTCCATTTCCTCATCTGTAAAGTTAGAATTTATAGTAACAGTACCTACTTCACAGGGGAACTAAATGAATAGATACAAATAAAGTACTTACAACAGTTTTTGTCACAGACTAAAAAATCTATGTGTGGCTATTACTGCTATTATTTTAATTGTTAATATTGTTATTATTAATTGTTAGATGAATTATTTAGTAGTGAACTAAGATAGAAGGCAGAGAGCAGGAAAGGGAAAGAGATCTGGAAGGAAGGCAGTTTTGACTTGAGGACATTTATATATAGAGAGAAGCATATCAATATGGCGGAAGATATTTCTCCATTAGATGTGTGAAACTTTTGACTTTGGCAGTCATGTCTGTCACCCTAAAGTGAGTCCAGCACTGTAGGCCTTCTTGGTGGGTTCAGCAGTCATGGCTGCCCAAATCACTGAGTGAGTGACAAATAGCCATCTTACACAGAAAGAAAAGGAAGCCTGGATAGAATGTATGGGTGCAGAGTGAATGATCCAGAGAGTTTTAAAGCAGAGGTGGTTAAAAACAGCTGTAGTAGATATTGCTGAAAATTAACAAATTGAGATTTTACTAGATTTTTGATGTGAGAAACTGATTTACTTTTGTAGAGCTTAAAATTTTGTGTGCTACTTAGGTAGCTAAAAAAAAGTAAAGAATTTGATTACTAACTGAATGTTTTATGTGTGAAAACACATGGTCTAGAGAAAGGTTATTGCTATCATCCATGTCTCTAATACATAGAATGATTTTGCTCTTCTCTTTTATTGTGTGTGCTGTAAAATACATTAAGTGTATTTTGTATTGTGTGTTAAATACATATAATAAATATATGCTTTAGAAGACAGTAATGGGGCACCTGGGTGGCTCAGTGGGTTAGAGCCTCTGCCTTTGGCTCGGGTCATGATCCCAGGGTCCTGAGATCGAGCCCCGCATCCGGCTCTGCTCAGCATGTCCCCCTCTCCCCGCCTGCCTCTCTGCCTACTTGTGATCTCTGTCTGTCAAATAAATAAATAAAATCTTTGAAAAAATAAAAAAATAAAAGTAATAAACCATTGGTCTAGTGGTCTTAATTTTGGAATGCCTCTTGATAACCTTTTTCACTCACATGAAGATTCCACTTCCTCATTCTCTATATTCCCACCTGTTTTAATAAGATATGGGTCATCCAAAATGGACTCCTACATCTATCTTCTTCTGCCTTTTTTAATGTCAAATTAAATTGTACCTACGTTCTTTGTTGCACATTCCTTCCCGAGCAAAAGGAGAATTCCCTTCTCCAAAGCTATGAAGACACTCAATACACAGCATGAGTATTAGCTCTGCACATGCCAGTTAATTCATGTTCATATTTTTAAGTGCAAACACTTTCAACTACAACCAATAAACAAGTGTTATTGATAGAATAATGGCATTCTTTTCTGGGGATACAGGTGTCCTTAAACTGTGGGGGCCATTTCAGAGAATCCATCAACAGCCAGCCAGTACATCTCTATTATGTACTGGAAACATTCATTAAAATAAAGTTATATTCTCTCAAAGCAAAGAGAGAGCTTATTAGCCACATAGTCCAAACCCAGGAAGCTGAAACGCTCTAAGTACAGGGAGTTGGCCCAGATCACACCACTGCCTAGTGTGGCAGCTGGGCGCAGAGAGAGGTGTTGTCTCTTCTCTTTGGAGTTGCCTGTTGGGACAGTGAGTCTTTTTTTTTTTTTTTTTTAATTAACATATAATGTATTATGTGCTTCAAGGGTACAGGTCTGTGGATCATCAGTCTTACACTATTCACAGCACACACCATAGCACATACCCTCCCCAGTGTCCATCACCCAACCACCCCATCCCTTCCCTCCCCTCCAGCAACCCTCAGTTTGTTTCCTGAGATTAAGAGTCTCTTATGGTTTGTCTCCCTCCCTGGTCCCATCATGTTTCATTTTTTCCCCCCTCCCTTCCCTCCATAACCCTCACCCTGCCTCTCAAATTCCTCATATCAGAGAAAGCATATGATATTTGTCTTTCTCTGATAGAATTATTTTGTTTACCATAATGCCCTCAATTTCAATCCACATCATTGCAAACGGCAAGATTTTCATTTTTTGATGGCTGCATAATATTCCATCACACACACACACACACACACACACACACACACACACACACCCCACTTCTTTATCCATTCATCTGTTGATGGACATCTAGATTCTTTCCGTAGTTTGGTTATTTGTGAACATTGCTGCTATAAACGTGCCCCTTAGGATCACTACATTTGTATCTTTAGGGTAAATACCCAATAGTGCAATTGCTGGGTCATAGGTGCTCTATTTTCAACTTTTTGAGGAACCTCCATACTGTTTTCCAGAGTGGCTATATCAGCTTGCATTCCCACCAGCAGTGTAGGAGGATTCCCCTTTCTCTGCATCCTTGCCAATACCTATCATTTCCTGACTGGTTAATTTTAGCCATTCTGGCTGGTGTGAGGTGGCATCTCACTGTGGTTTTGATTTGTATTTCCCTGATGCTGAGTGATGTGGAGCACTTTTTCATGTGTCTGTTGGCTATCTGGATGTCTTCTTTGCAGAAATGTCTGTTCATGTCTCCTGCCCATTTCTTGATTGGATTCTTTGTTCTTTGGGTGTTGAGTTTGATGAGTTCTTTATAGACTTTGGATACTAGCCCTTTATCTGTTATGTCATTTGCAAATATCTTCTCCCATTCTGTCCATTGTCAGTCTTCTGTATCACTAATTCTCTCTTCTGCCTCATTTATCCTAGCAGTAAGAGCCTCCATTTTTTATTTCATCTCATTAATAGCTTTTTTGATTTCAGCTTGGTTAGATTTTTGTTCTGTTAATTCTCCAGAAAGGGCTTTTATTTCTCCAGAAAGGGATTCTCTAGTCTCTTCCATGCTTTTTTCAAGCCCAGCAAGCACCTTGATAATCATTCTGAACTCTAGTTTGGACATCTTACTAATGTCCATATTGATTAGGTCCCTAGCCATCGGTACTTCCTCTTGTTCTTTTTTTTTTTTTTTTTGAGGTGAGTTTTTTTGCCTTGTCATTTTATCCAGATAAGAACTGATGACTGAGATAACAAAATACTAAAAGAGTTGCAATGACCCCAGCAAAATATACACTAACCAAATCAGAAGAGATATGAAATCAGGGGGAGAAGAAAAAAGAAAAAAAAAAAATATATATATATATTAGACTGGTGAACAGAAAAGAGCCACACACTTGATTTTGGGTGTATTTTGGTCTGTTAGAAGAAACTCCCTCCCAGAATTTTAAAGAAAGAAAAACATTATATATATATATACATGTACATATACATGTATATGTACATATTACCCATATATATATATATATATATATATACATATATATATATGGGTAAACCCAATGAAGAGATGGAATATGGTTGTAAAGATGAAAATTGAAAAAGGAGTTGATAAGAAGTTGGTTGAAAAAGAAAAAAAGAGGAAAGAACGTGATTAGATTGGAGACTAGAACAAAGCCATGCACTAGATTTAGGGTGTATTTTGATCTGTTAGAAGAAACTGTACCCAAAATTTTAAAGAAAGAAAAACCTATACATATACAAAAAATAAGGTTAAATACAATGAAGGGATAGAATATGACTATAACAATGAAAATTAAAAAAAGATTTTTTTAAAAAAAACCCCACTCTAGTTGTGCAAGGGGTGACATTACTAGGGGGAGTCTTAATTGGAACTTAGACCATGAGCCTATGGTTCTCAAGAGTCTGAAAACTGCTAATTAGGTTCTAAAATAATCTTTGCATGGAATAGAGATTTGTCGAATTTGGGAATGCATTGTCACTCTGTGGAAAAGTCTTACCTGTAAAGATTCCAAAATGAAATACGTCATGAGAGAAAGAAAAAAAAAAGATTTTTAAAAAGGTACTGATAAGATAGTTTAAAAAGGTTAAAATACAAAAGAGGAAAAATTGAAAAAAATAGAATAAGAAAAAAAATAAAATTGAACAAAATTTAAATTTAAAAAACTAAAGAA